TTCAGCGATGTCTCCCGAGTAAAACAGTACCCCCCATGTACAGGTTTTATAGCATTTTTGAAAGTTACAGGGTCAAATATATGGGTCAAATATTTTTACATTGAAAATGGCCAGGTTGGTTACGTTGCCTTTGAGAGCGTATGGTAGCCCAGGAATGAGAATTACCCCCATGATGGCATACCATTTGCAAAAGAAGACAACCCAAGGTATTGCAAATGGTGTATGTCCAGTCTTTTTTAGTAGCCACTTAGTCACAAACACTGGCCAAAATTAGCATTCAATTTAGTTTTTTTTACTTTTTTCACACAAACAAATATGAACGCTAACTTTGGCCAGTGTCTGCGACTAGGTGGCTACTAAAAAAAAAAAAAAATGGCCATACCCATACTGAATACCCTGGGTTGTCTACTTTAAAAAAAAATATGTACATGTGGGGTGTTATTCAGAGATTTATGACAGATAATAGTGTTACAATGTCACTACTGATACATTTTAAAAATGTATGTTTTGAAACCGCAATATCCTACTTGTACTTATAGCCCTATAACTTGCAAAAAAGCATGTAAACACTGGGTATTTTAAAACTCAGGAAACTCGCTTTTGTAGAGGAGTAAAAAGATTTTTCAAGTAAAAGTAAAAAAAAAACATGTATTTTTTTCAATTTTTCATTATAGGTTTTTATTTTTTTAAATTAAATTACATGAGATTATATAAATAATGGTATGTAAAGAAAGCCTTTTTTGTCCTGAAAAAACCCAATATATAATTTGTATAGGAACAGTAAATGAGAGAGCGGAAAATTACAGCTAAACACAAACACCACAAAAGTGTAAAAAGAGGCCTGGTCGCAAATGTACAACATCGCAAAAACATTCCAGTCCTTAAGGGGTTAAAAGAAATCAATCTGGTATTGAGGATCAGAGCGAAACAGAAAAGTTGTAGTCCTAATTTAATCTAAGCTGGGTAAATTAACGTAGAAGTACAATTTTATACAGACGATCTAAAGGCACAACGTTTTAGATCCTTTATTCACCCTTCTGTAAGGCAACTAAAGTAAAACAAAAATACAGCGGGATCTCAGTGGACAGCTTTCTCGTAGCTAAAATAAAGGATCAGAATGCTGGCCAAGCTATGTTGTGATATAATAAGTATAACAAATATTTAAAATTACAGTTTTAAAAAAACAGTATTGTAATATTGGGCCTTCTGTAACACTCGGACCACCATGGGGCTAGGCACTCCCTTGACTTCAACATGTGTGTTTTCCAGTTTCACTGAGCAGTCAGTACGCTGCAGTGCAGACATTCTATTCATTTTACGTGTTGTGCTTAACATATCCCTTTAAAAAGAACGGGAGCATCATTCACAGAGGCACTTTCTGGTCTGGACTGAGCTCACTTCAAATACTGTAAACATATTCAGGGATGTCAATAGTGAGCCTCTATTTTTTTTTTTTTTATGCATTATCTCTGTAATACACCTTTAGTGAGGGGTGTCCCTTTTAATAGGGATCCCTTGAAAAATTAATGGGAAAAGGGGGGTACGGGGGGGGGGACTCGCTGTAAGTTGTCTCCACATGCTAAACTTCTATCTTGATTGGCTTTGAAAGACATTATAAAATAATTTTTTTAAGGAAGTTAAAACAATTTTTTCCTCCAAAATACTCATCCTTTTTTATTAAACAGACCCTGCAAGCACCAGGATAACTTTAGCTTTGTGAGGTTGTTCTGGTGTATAGATTGTGCTCCTGCATTTCTGTAGTTTTGCAGTGACACTGCAGGGACACGATCTATACTCCAACAATGCTTCAATAAACTAAACATTGTTTTGGTGCTTAAAGTAAACAAAAAGAAGTACATTTAAAATTTAGTGACACTTTACATTTTATGATGTGACACCCCCTCCTACCTCAAAAAAAAAAAAAAAAAAATTTTAAAAAAAACCCAGTAAATAGCAGTTCTGTTTTTGTATAACATTCATCACCAGGAGTAGCAAAGAAAAGTCATCTGGATTTAATGAAAGCAGAATCTTGCATAAGGCTGCACTCCCTTCCTTATTGCCTGGTTAAACTGTCGTTTACCATTTCTCGTGAATCTCTGTGATTTCAAATGGATTATTTGATGAAACTAAACTTTTGGCAAGAACTATTATTTCCATACGGTTTAAAACTATAGCTTAAGTAAATTTCCCCAGAACGGATTTATCGTTTTGCTGATAATGCGGTTTAATTAAAGCCACTATGAGAACTAGAATTATTCCCTGAAACGTTGGATTGTATGAAGGGCTCAAGAAAGAGACCCAATTATAAAAAAATTTTTTTTTTAAAAATGAACTAAATAAACCATTTACCACATGCTATTTGGAAGTTTTGGCACATTCTTATTAATACATTTGATAAAGGTATGGATTTATGGCATAAAATGACTATTTCAGAGCTCACCACTGTAAGGCTAATTAGTGAGGTCACAATTTCCTTGTATAAAGATCTGTAAAGTACAGTATTTTTATAAAGACTTCTAATACAACTAATTTGTAAATGTGGCAATGCATGGATAGGATAGCAAAGAAATAAAAAATGTGACTATATAGTAGCAGGAAAGAAACAGTGTTTAACAATTCAGAAAAATACTTTATCAACATTGTTTAACCTTTGACCACTGCAGCTGCTGTGGACTACAGTTCCGAAGATTCTCAGCCAGCCAGATGGCAGACTGAGAATCATGGGAAAACAAAACAATATCTGGTTTGTTAAGACAAAAACAGCAACTTTATATGCTCTAGTGATTTTTGACCCTTATCTGCCAAATGTTCTCAAATTGCATAGCACTGCAGAATCTGTTGTCTCTTTAACGCAATCTGAAGCACATTAAGGATTTTTTAAAGAAGATTAAATAGGCCTTAAAAAATTTAAGAAAGCTTGGTGTGAGTCAGAACTAAACTGCATAAGACAGTTTTGTTCCTTAAGCCCAACAAGCAAGTGTCAAACACGGAACCTGCACATGTGAGGATGAATTAAAGTTCTTGAGGAACTAGTGACTGGCTAACTTGATATTGGTGCACTGAAGATGGGATGAGAATTAGCTGTGTCTTATTGGATACTGACTATATGAGAACATTGTATGACTTAAAGGAGACTTGTCATGCACCAAACATATGCTTGATTGAGTATAAAATTTTATCTATACATTGTGCTAGCAGTTTTGCTAGAAAATGTATAGATTAGGAGAAAAAAAAACCTATTTAAAAATAGGATTTTCTCAAAACTTAGTCAATGCCTCGGCATGCCAACTACAGCAACCACAGCGCAGGCACTTGTTACTATGGAAACTACATCCCCTGCGCTTCCAACGCGGAATGACATGACGCTAGCAACAAAGCCAGCATGCTGACATCACTGAGGAGGTTTACAATGCTTGGCTGGGCCTTCAGGACATTACTCCCCTTTGCAGGAAGGCAGACTGGGCTGCTGCATGCCTCCCAAGATTTCAAATGGACAAAGAGGGATAATTTTATTTAGGGGTATACGTGTGGCCATGGAAGGGGCTGTTCTGAGAAATTCTAGGTAACTTATTTATTCAACTAAAATAAATTTAGTACAAGAACAATGTATCTTATTTACACAGACTTTTTTAAACACATTTATTGTAGTTTAAACACATTAGTGTGGATATCTTTGTTGAGGTACTTTGGTATAAAAATTCAGACACACAAAGAATACTTTGCTCCAACAAAATAGGGACATTTGGAAAGAAAAAGAGGGACAGAGGGATTTCTCTCCAAAAAAATAGGGATACTTAGGAGGTATGTTGTAAGGAGAACTTTGCCGCAGTGTGGATAATTATTTTATTTCTGAAGGGGGGGGGGGGGCATTTAATATTAAAGGTTTACTCTAAATCTTTCTAACATACATCTAGCACCTTCACTGGATTTCAGTTGTTTACTTTTTCCAGTTTTATTAGCTTCTCACTAATGCTTAATAGGGTAGTATTAATTAAACTGAAATTCACTGCTCTTCACCCCCCTGCGGCGCGGACAGATTTTGCTTGAACCGTTTCACCTACTCGAATGCATGTGCGTGCTCTGAGCCAGCAACAACAGAGAGGTAGGGGATTAAAAAAAATAGAATATAATAATAAATAAGGGGGTAGAGCATATCTGAAAACAAACATCATTTTTGCACAGAATTGATACCAGGCTCCCTAAGTCATGTGTACCAGGGGTGTAAAAAGCCCAGGCACAAAGGTGATTATATATCTGGCTAAGCAGCGTTTCAAGCAGCAACTCTGCGCATAAGACTCCTACAACCATGGCCACTTGTAATCAGTGAAGTGGTCAAGGTGGTTGGAGCAACCCTTTAATTTATTTAAGCAAGAAGGATACTTTTATCTGTTGCTTGTAGATCTTCTTCCAATGCTCTTATTGACCTCAAAATGTTGCTGGAGCAGTTACACACTCAAGCTGCCTCCCCCCCCCCCATAAGTTTGAATACCTAGGGAGGCAAAACAAGCCAGCAATGCATCATGGCATCTTCTATACTTCTACAAGAGCTCTGGTCTACTATTTTGGACATTCCTTTGCCTACAGGGTTCACTGCAGTCCTCACCAGCTGCTGAAGAGTTACAAAAGTACTGAGTCCTGCACAAAAACATACCAGAGCTATGACTTGCTTTATGAAAGTTATTGAAATATTGTGTGTGGTTATCTGTAAAGAACAGACTGCCCTAATCTCTTCCTGATGATTTATGGGCTGATACATCTGCTTCAGCTTACAGAGTTTGGGTAGGTGCAATTCAGCTGCTTATGTGAAAAAGTATTTATTTTAAAAATGTACCTAAGCCTTCCCAGGGCCCAGGACATGAAATACAAACATAAACATTCTGTACAACAATCAAGATTTAATTGATTAATTCAATTTAACCCCTTCAGGAGAGAAGAGACAAGAAAAGTGCTAGAACACTTTTCTATATCTGAAAATACTGGGATGTTTAGCAAAAAAATATTTACTGTACTGCATCAGGATACCAAACATCATCCCCAGGTGTCACAAGCTCCCATGTAACTGCACAAATCCATTCAGTCCAGTATTGGGTATTCCATGTAGACACATCCAGAGCGTGCATCTGTAAATGGATTCATCATCATCATCATCTCAACATTCTTAAACAATATAGAGTAAAGCAAAATATGTGTTTTGCATTTTAATAACAAAAACTAAATATTGTGGAGTACATGTTTAGGTAGTAGTCATCTTATTGAGGAAGGTTAAAAGAAACATTACAGTATCAGGAATACAAACATTTATTTCTTGCACTATAATGCAGGAATCAATGTTTAGGTGCCCGGATCCAACTCTGTAGAGATAAAAAGGGTGAAAAAAAAAACGTACCTTTTCTCCCTTGCTGGGCCACATCCGGCCATGCCTCCATGGTGGAGATCAATAACCTTGATGAGCTCAGCCAAATGCTTTCCAATAGAAAAGCATTGGGAGGCTATTGAAACAATGCATCTCTATGGGGAATGTTCCACCCTTCCATGCAGAGAGTGCAGCACTGACACAGGAAGCACCCCTAGTGGCAGTCTGAGTGATTGCCACTAGAGGTGTTACTAGGCAGCAATGTAAACACTACTTTTTATCTGAAGAATGCAGGGACAGGCAATGAAGGCCAGAACCAGTACCTCCCTATAAGACAAGCTTGAGGGAGGGATGGATACATGTGGAGCCAAGGATAACAAAAGGTACAAGCCAAGCAACACTGAGCCAAGCAAGTCTGTGCAGGGCCACGCGCATTGGCAGAGCATGTCAGCTTAGCTCAGAGGACATCGGACTTCTCCTGCAGGTAAACTATCTGAAATAAACCTGTATTATACACATTCTGTAAGAGTTTTATATACATAGCTTTTCTGTTTTCAGAAATTTATATTAACATTGTTCATTTAACATAGTCTATTTTGTGTTCATGCAAGATTAATTGTGCTTTTTTTTTTTTTGTATTTTTATTTACAAGCACCCAGTTTCACTCATTTTTCACAAGCATTTTTTGGTGCATATTACCGAAAACATCAGAGGAACGATACTTAATAATGAGACAGATCTGTTCAACGTGATTAATTACATGTGTGTAATGAAACGAAATGTGATCTGAAAACTCTCTAAGGCATGACGAGAAATTTTACCTCTTCCTTATTTAATGGGGCAGAAAGTAGCCTTAAAAAGTCCACTTTTTAAAGGGCCAGTGCCTCCCAAAGCACAAGCAGTCTATGAAGATAATCTTACATTTTAATATTTAGTTGCAACTGCAGGGAAGAATTATGTGGGATTCTAGTTTAATCTTATCCTTTTGACCCAGTCTAAACATAAATAGTGATAATTTGTCACTGTGCCATCACGTAGTGTATAGGATTTTTGGAGCCAATTAAAATCGGAGTTGTGAAATGTAGAAAAAAAATAGCCGATCCAGAAATTGTTTTTGTTGCCTTTAGGATTTCAGTTTGCTACAAATCATATTTTAGTGAATACACTCCACCAAGTTCATGCAACTCTGCAAAAAATGGAAATATGTTTGGAATATTACTGGAAGCCTTGATACATCAAGGGATTTACTCACTTAATGATTTGCTGTTTATTGCATAATTTGGACCAACATTTGAGAGTAAAAATACCATATTGCAAAATATGTGAAATCATCAGTGTGACTGTACCAAGAAATGTCTAAGGCACTTGAAATTAAAGCGGCACTGTAAATATCTGGGGACATTGCCGTTGGTAAAGGTGAAATTCCAGATCTCCGCAAATAGTAGTGAAGGAGTGAGATTGCATACAATAAGTGAGACTATTCAAAAATCGTTTGACTTGTTAAATAAGCGGGTAGGGGCACCAGGGCATTTCTAGCACCATAACCACTACAAAAAGGTGTAGTGGTTACGGCCTTCAGAGTGTTCCTTTAAAGACAGCCTGTCCAACAACAAACCATATAGATGACAAGCTTACATTCACATAGGTATATATTAAATATCTACACTGCCCTGGTGATATGGTCAGGAAGTGTATATATTAACAGATAGACTTACCTGAGGTTGGCTTCTCCCCAAACAGTACAGAGTCCTTACTTTTAGAAAATGGCTGCGTGAGCAACCATAAAAGAGCAAGCCACGATTCCATAAATAACCTACAGCTATTTAGCATTTTAGTTTTAGGTTTTTTTTTCTTTTCCTTTTATCAAAAACAAGAGGTATTTACCTATAATACTGTACATAAAGCAACACACATGAACAAATACGCTAGTCCCTTTAAGTACCACGTAGATCCTGGTAATATAAAATGTGAACAAGGGTTAACTTTCTCAAAGAAAGTCCCCCAGATATAAAACATCTGTAAATATTAACATGGAACTGGAGTTTATTTTGTTCCAGTGAAGCCATACAGGCTTTAGGGGACGTGAGGAATCTGCCTGCTGTGGTTTCAATAGTCATCTACGGGCAGGATGATCACGTAACATTTATCTGCCATTAGTTTGTGCAGCCACAGGGAAGACTGATTACACACAACTTGTTTGGTAATTGTCCAGAATAAATGCCATATGTTTTAAAAGTGTACTATTTGTTCTGGGCAAGCTGGAGATACAGCTACAGATTAAATCATGTGTAGGATGCATTGTTTAGGTTCTATCTTGACAAAGTATTTTGTTTTCCAAGATGGTAATACACAAACTAATCAGTCTCTATATACCACAGAATGCCAACGAGTGGATCCTTTTATGGGCTACTGAAGAAAGGCCACACGTTTTCATAAATTATCCAACAGGGTTATTTCTTGAAGAGAGAATTCAGAGTGAATTTCAAATATAAGGCCAGACTAACCAAATTGAAAAGTATAGCTGACTTAGAGAGTTTTGTCGTCTACATTAAACAGAGAATAAATTGTACGCTGGCATAATATCTTCATTCTGAATTTCATGTCCTTGGGGGATCTTTTAGACTCTGAAATTTCTTATACTAGGATTAACTAGTTTTGGAACTCATATGGGGGGGGGGGGGCTGTATTTCTCCTATAGGAGATGGAACTGGTCATTGTCCTATACGAGAGATCTGCTTGTTACGTTTGGACCGGTCTCACAATTCTCCTGTCTAAGTGTGAATTTGTCCTGGAATTTTTATTTTATAAAAGATGGACGTGCTTTTAGAATCTCATACATGAGAAAAAAAATACGAAAGTGAATTGATCTTGAAATTCTCCAATATGGAGGATGGAATGGACGTTGAACCGGCCTTTTTTTGAAGAGTAACGGGTCTTTGAATTCTTGGATACATTGATCTTTGATTTCAATTCTAATTTAGAATTTTAGAAAAGCAAAGAGATGACCTTCGAAATCCACATCCTTTAACAAGAGGTAGTCTAATAATTTCTAGAAATTTGTCAAACCCTGCACGAAACCACAAAAACACAGACAATTGTAGAGAAATATTTCAAAATCCAGTCCTCAGTAAAATTACTCTTTTTACAATACCAGATACTTACAGCCAGAGTAAAAAAATAAATATATATACATATATAGTCTGCCTTCAATACATATTTTTTTCCACAGAATTACCATGTAACCTCATCTAGTTAGAAATTACTACATAAATGAACTAAAATGCCCTCTGTATTGTAATCACAATCAGTGGTCTTCACAGCTGATTAAACAACCTTTTCTCATACTAGCACCAACGAAAGTTACTTATGCTTTTTCTAGACTCTGCATTGTGCCAAGATTTGGGGATTTCTATCGCAAAACATCATCAATGAATATGTCATCCCCCTACCCAAGGCAAAAAAATGCCTACAATGATACAGCTCAAAAATGGATCTATTCATTAATTGGCTCCTTTACACATAAATCAAAGTTTGGAGGAATATCAAGACTCCCATCAAATCAGCACTGTCAACATGCTGAGAAGTTTTATTAAAAATACAAAGAGAGAGAGGTTCAGTTGGCTTTGAAAACGAAAGTGATCGGTTCCCAAGTTGTTCAAGATGTTACAGCATGAAATATGATTAGAATTTAAGAATTGAATTTCAACAGCTTCAAGCCAAAGAGTTGGCTCCCGCAAGCTACGATTCAGCACAGGGCAGGAATTTTATTGAAAAGAAGTAAAAAGAAAAAGAAAAAAAAACAGAAAAAAAAAAACGCAACACCTTCTCTTTCCATTAAAAGCATTTAAATGACTATTAACCAAGCCAAAAATATAAGATGACATGGATTCATTTCCCAACAAGGATTAGAAAACTAGGAAATTGAAGCTAAATCATTTTGAAAAATAAAGTAAAAGCTACATCTAAACACACATATATACATATGTAGTTTTTACCTTGTTATTTTTCTAAATGATGGATTGAGATATACACACACGCACACGAACCCAGGTGGCTGCACTCACCTGAACATGCATAAATCGGCTGCTGCCGACTTAACACAGTCAGTGTAAGTATTTAATAAAATAGGTTTTATCTGTATTAAATACTCATTTTTAAGGGTGAGAACAAAGCTTCTTTACAACTTATTTGTAGAGTCCACTGACTAATTTTAGCGAATTGCAAAAAAAAAAAAAAAATATAATAATAATATATATTATATATATATATATTTATTTTTTTAAATAAATGGAGCACTAAGACCCATCCCCTCACTCTAAATGGTCATTGGTGAAGCGAACCTGCTCTCTGCCCATGCAATCTCTTGCACCACTGGGATTTCAAGTTCTGAGAGATGTAGTTAAAATCGTAGCTTTTTGCAGTAGAAACCTGACAGATAAACAACAACTTTTAGAAACTCCAGGTGCTCAAAGACTTAATGTTCATGGAATATGGGAAACACTTTGTGCTGGCATATACAGTTCTAGAAGCATCACAACTAACAATCACTTCCTCCTGGTGTGAACACAGCTCACTCACTGCACGAGCTGCAAAGCCTAGGGATTTACAGCAAATGCAGGAACATTAGATGTCAGTATTTCGTTGTTTCCCCCCCATAAATATTTCCATGCAGTATTCTCATTACATATCACAATGCATTAACAAAAATGAGGTCAACGCCAGTGTGGAGTATCCCTTTAAAACAAAGATTGCCAATAGTGTGATGATATATAATCACTAGAAGCTGGTAATGATAGTAGAAAAGATCTGCTTTAACGCCATCAGTAGGCCTGTTGATTTGCTGATAGGTATTTCTAGCTTGACAAGTACAAGGATTGCCATGCTCCGCTAAACATTCTCTCCTAGGAATGAGCCATCTGTGGATTCCACATGTGTTCTCAAGTGGGCTAATTTGGCATTGTATCTCTTTCTGAGGCCTCAGACCCATACAACAGCTGCCTGATGCTTATACATAGTTTACACTCAGATATGCCTTGTCTGAAATGAGAAATGACACTGTTACCTGATTCTACAGAGATCTTAAAGTTTAAGAAAAGCAAGGACAGTCTTAAGAAGTAGCGAAGAAGAAAAAAAAATGCAACAGTGATAGACTTAATTAACCCATACCTTCCAAATTTCAAAGTATCTGAGACATGTCTTAATAAGGTGGGCCTGAGGGTGTTCCAAAATCAGGACTCTTTCCACCAGATCTGGAACACTTGGGAGGTATGTGGATCCCTATGTAAAAATTGTTTCACCCACCTAATTTTTCTGTTTTGTTCGAATGAAACAAAACGTTGGGGATAATAATGGGGGTCAAGTTACAGCACAAGGCTACATACTGCAGAAGCCCGCCACAATGCCAATGTACCCCATTTTCTGGCATGTTCTCTCCTAGCAACCTAATGCCTGCTCTTAGGAGATGAATCCACTTACTTTGGAAATCCCACCACGTGGGACTCTTCAGTGTAAGATTAAACAATGATTTATTGGTGTAATATATATATACACACACATACATACATACATACATACATACATACATACACACACACACACACACACACACACACACCAATAGGGTTGCACTTACCTGTACATACATACATGAATGGTGATGCTGGGGCCAATTCATACAACATACAAGATCCGGTGCATTTACTCATTCACTAAACAGCAAAGCTCACAGAAAGCAATATTTATTTATTTTTTAAAAACATCTCGGAGAGTGATGAGAGTTTTGATCCACAGCTGTGGGATTGCTTGGGGTAGTTATCCCTTTCCTTGAACTGAAGGGGTGGGAAATAAATCTACCACAAAAAAAATGTAAAAAAATTTAAAAAAAATTTAAAATCTTGCATAGCTGTGAAAACAAGAAGTCTTTGAAAAAGCGGCTGTCTGCTAGAATGAAGCTTTTATAGCAAGAACATCTGCAAGTAAACATCAGCATAATTCATTTACTGTGAAACTGTGAACATATAAATACCACAAGTTTGTCTTGAGATTCAGAAAGTTAAATCATCCAAACACAGATTTGACCATTTGCAGAACTCAGTGGATAAGGAGGCACATAAAAATGTCAAATAAATAAATATATACACACGCGTGTGCATGTAAAAAGACTACTATATAGACTATATTATATGTAGGGGAATAAGGAGTCATGTGGTATATGAAGTGCTTGTGTGTAATAAATGTATGCGTGATAGAGATAGACAGACAGATATAGGACACATACATGCATTAAACACAAAGCACTTAGTATATCCACATGACTCCGTATTCCCCCCTGCTGAACTACACTTCTTATAGATCTCTGGTCTTCTAGTCTTATATCATTTGCTTTTGTCAGACTTGTTATTACCACAATCTGACCATTGTCTTCTCCTGGTTCAGAAGTATCCTCACTACCTTTAAAGAACTCTAAACTGCACACTATATCCTGCCCACATCCTTCAATGGTCTCTTATTCCTTCCACCCGGGGTGTTCAGATCTGGCCAGTCAGATCTCTCCAGTTCTAAAATGTATTTTCCTAGCAACGGAGCCAAACTAGGATAACCATTCAAACGTCCCAATTGAGGACGTGGGTTTACAGTGTCAGCAAAACCGCAATTTTTAACGCAAACACCTTGAAACTGGACATACAAAAACCCAAGTGATGGTGCTATGTGTGTCTTCTTTTTCTTGCTTGCACATTTACTGCCAATAAACAGCTGGTATAAATTATATACAATGAATATGTTACTCCATAGAACAAATAAAAATAAAAATAGCAAGTTTTGTAGCTTGGGAAGTGGCCTTGTACAAATGCAAGCACAGTGATTCGGATGATTTTATTTAAGAAAGGTATTTCTATCAATATTAGATAACAAAACTAAACAAATACAATTAAAAAAGAAAGACATTTAAATAATGATAATAGACAGTCTGATATCCGAAAAATCATAGTAATATTCACTTTTTTGTTCATCCTTGGCATTGATCATCACCAAAATTATAAATGGATTTCTGAAATTTAACTGGTCATTACTTGGAAGAAACAAAAAGAAAGCACTTCTAAAACTTAAAAATCATAAAAGCAAATTGAGTTTAATGATGGAGGCATTTTGTCATGATCTGTTCAGCAGCCTATCTAAAATTGGGAACAGGTGGTTTAAAATGTAAACCATTGGCCCACTAATCAGTCACAAATTACAAAAACGTGGGCTTTGCCACTTCAAAGCCAATTAGTATTGTAACCATTTCTGTTAGAAATTGAAACATCCTTAGGGTTTCAAGTCTAAGTTCTCAAAACAAACATAATTAGTCATCAAAAAACACTTTACCTTAAATTTACAATGATTTATTAAAAATATAATTGCGTTGGATTACAGTGCTCTTCCTCAAGTAAATAACAAAAGCAATTATTTAAGAACATAGGCGATGGTTTGTTCCCAACTCCAATTTTGCAAACCAATGTAGTGTTAACTTCATACATTCCAAATTGCTGAACGGTTAATTATTATAAGACATTCTGGTCCCATTTTTAACAGGACCGACTTAACAATATACATTTTAAACTTCTTTTCAGGCAAGTAAAATTCAATTGGCTCTTCAAACCATATTAAAATTATATGCATAATGTAACATATGGGTTTTTTTGCCACCTTTTAACATCAGCATGATCGTATTGTCTGCCTACAGTCACTTGCATGTTGAGTGTGCACCCCGAATATAACTTTAGACTCATTTGGGATGCTGGAATGATGCGGTCTGTTAAAACAATACATTTAGATGTGTCCCTATTTCCATATGCAAAACTATTAAACCTGATCTCCCTGTTTAGATTTGCTGCTACTAAGTAGCTATCTGCATAGAGTATTCATTGTCTGTGGGAGACTCTCTTGCATACCTTGATTCACTTGTAAAAGCATTCCTCCTAAATGTTCTTTTTTTGGGATGGAGGAAGATTGATTCAAACCTTATGAATACGTATCTAGAAAAATACATATAAAAACCCACAAACATTTCCTCTAATTCAGCAGTTTATAGTGTATTAGTGCAACAGAGTATTTATTGGTGACTGCCTCATTAGAACAGTCAATGTCAACAGGTTTTGGTATGCTTAAATGCCCCTTTTTAATTGCTTAAAAACCAAAAACACAATTTTCATTGCAGTTCTAATGTGGAAGAAGATGTAATTTTTTGGAATACTTATTTTAGAATAAAGAAAGTTACATTTTTTTATTTTGTATTTTTGCTGTGCATGAGAGTAGTACAGACATGCTTGAGGTACAATTGGAATAGATTAGATAAGCACAATTTTATAATATATCAACAAGAGATAACCGTTAGGAAGGTTTCTACTCTGGTCTAACTAGCTAATATACAGGCTAGGTGAGGTATTGTAAAATAAACATGCTGAGCCACAACCAGGCTATTCTAAAGATTGATTTTTTACTGTGGTCTGGAGCCCTCTTCAAATGCATACTGCTCTTTAAACTCTACAGTCTTGGTTGTGTGACATGGCAGGTCTATCATAACTGCACGATCATGGTAAAGAGAGTTCAGGAGGCTTTAGATCGTATTCCATTCATCCGATGCCCTCTGTTGGGAAACGACAGGAGCCCGCCGGTGGGCCGCTGCTGCACAGGTGCTAGTGAGGGTGTCACTCCAGCCCCAGGCTGGTGTGTTGGCCTGCATCTCTTGGCCACAAACTCTGACTTCTGGAGCCAGAGTTTTCTCCATGTGTGGGAGTGACGGAGGGCCTGATGGTCTTCTGCCGCTTGCGCCTCCGTAAATGTGAGCAATGCTTCCGGGTTCTCACCCTTGAGGCCTGCAGCCCATGTAGAGTATGAGTGGGTGGGTGTAGCATTTCTGCGCCTATGGGTTCTTCCCTCACCCCCTGCCTGCGGCTTCGCTCACCCGTCTGAGTCTTGCAGGTCGGTCTGGGCTACTCGCTGCCGCTCCCAGAGACTGTCCCAGAAGCGGTTGAAAATCGTCTCCAGACGCTGCGAAGTGTCATAGTGATGCCTTTGATTCGGTAGCATGCTCTGCTATCAGCCACCATCGGAGGTGCGCCTTGTGACGGGCAACTCCACTGTGTCATGACATCAAGTTTAGGGTGCGATCTGGGCTGACTGCTCCAGACACCCAGTGAGGACCAGGATGACCCCCACTGGTCCACGGGGGGTGGGTGGGGGGGTAGGAGGTGAGTGCGCTGAGGAGTCTTTGCGCGGATGTGCCATCGAGTAGAGCGGCCGCCTCTCCCTGGCTCGGTCGCAGTAAGGCCTCGGTTGTATGATACGGGTTCCCGGGCAGTGTTAGTCTTGAGTTAGGTGTCATTCAATGCACCCGGGTCTCCCCAAAATGTCTATTGCCCTCCAGATGATGATGAAAGCGCCAATTTTCGTTACACACACACACACACACACACAAATGTATTTTTCATTGTAAAGCTCCAGAAACCTGTTGATGCTATATAAAATGAAATCAGAAATTAAATCCCTCCCCACCCCAAATAAATATATAAAAGTCAGTGTGTCACTTTAGTTCTGTGCTATTCAAAGTTCCCAAAATCATCTGCAGCTGACGGCATTACTGCATTAGCAGCTGGAATAGACAGGCTATCTTATATGGCGGAACAAATTAGAAAAAGTCAACCAAACTAATATTGGTGAAGAAGGTAGATAAAAAGAAGAATCAACATTTAAGTCAGCCTAGACATCACAGCTGAAAAAATATATACAGACTACTGAGAAACATAATTTGGTAGTTAATATAAAAGCAACCGCAGCAAATGCCAAAACAAATCCAACATAAGCTTACAGAATAGACCTTTACAGGCTCCATATAGTCTCCTAAGCTACGCAGCTTGCTACAACTTTGCCGAAGTAAAGCCTCTGTTCATTTGGAGACCCCAAGTTTTAGGGGAGTAAATGGCAAGTCCCCTTCCAAGTAAAGTAAAGGGCAATGGCAAGTCCCCTCCATCCTACTGTCATTAATAACCTCAACCAAAGCCCATAGATTTGAGTGCAGACTTAGCATGTCCACAATACTGCTTAATTTTTTACATAGCCCCCACCCGCCTCCTATGGTTGGGGCTGGGGCACGGTTTAGTGTCCCACCAGATGGATTTTAGAGAAGCTCCCCACTGCTCACGGGTGAGGAATGGGGAGAACGTTAGAATTCAGAAAAATTACCCCAAAATCACACAATTCACTATTTGACATAAACCAAATACACTAGTCTAAAAAGCACTTCTATTTTGGTTACACCTCTAATGTACAGTAAGTAAAAAGAATCATATCCACATTCTTCTGTATCTGGCTAGCTACTTGTGTGCATTTTAATAAAATTACAACGAAAAACATAATTAATAAACAAAAACACAATTAAATTAAAATGTAAACAGGATGAATTCAGACTGTGAACCGAGATTATTTATTCACCACTCCCAAAATCCCAATACCATTTACTCAGCACATTATAAGCAGATAATTATATTTCTGCTGCCAAAACACAAATCTTCAACAGCTGTATTGCTGACGCTGTTATCATTTTTAATCACATTGTAAGCAAAATTCCCTCATCCAAAATCTCACCAAAAAAAAAGCTTGCGCAAAACTTTTTTTTTATTTTGTTCTTTTAAACAATACTTCTGAATAAATGTTTTTAAAGTACAAAATTAAACTTTGTAAACAAAAGAGGAAATATATTTTTTCCCCCCAAAATAAATTCTTTCCACGAAGCACAATATTTTTTTATCCTTGCTTCACCCTACTCCTCCCATATGCACCTGAAAAAAATAAAAAAAATAAATCACTCCAGGCCTTAGCTGTACAATGTTTCTTCAAATCTCTGTCTATTGGGGAAAGTCTGTGGAATATTGGCCCATCAAGCTTAAAAACTGTCACACATCAAGCCTCGAGCAAGGCTATGAGCCAAATGCAGATTAAGAACGTACATTAAAAACAAATTGATAAAATTAAAGCAGTTTGAAGATCAGAGGGAATTCTTTGGCATTCAATATGGTTGAACAACATATCGCTTTTAAATTTCATCTCACATTTCATTCATTATGTTGAGATGCACAGAGAAAGACCTTCTTATGTGTGGATTTCAGGGAAAATCATCAGGGATATTTTGGATCCATCACCAGGTCTTAAGAGTCCTAATTGGTATACACTTTTACACTAGAGGTCTTAAAATGATGAGGATTACTCAATGCGTATCTGAAAAAATGACCACATTACTAAACGTAAATGGTTTCAATCTATCTGATAATCGTATTTACGGTTTTAGACGTCAACTGCAGTAGTTTCAAGTTGCTCATCCATGAAAAAGATATTAAATCTCCTTTTCTTGAACCCAATTCACAGTACACCTTCAGAGTAGCTCAAGTTATTTTGTTAAAATAGAGGCATAATTGAAGATTTTTTTTTTTTTTTTTAAATTAAACATTTAAGAAAAAGCCAGTACTTAGGACCCATTTGTTTTAAATATACATTTTATATACTTTTCACAAGGGTCAAATATGTGGTTACACAAAAGTGTATCATGTGCCACCACATTGAGGATAACTTCCTCATACACACACAACTCACAGGTCCGACAAACACAATAAATCAATGTGCAAGCTGCAAAATCTTAAGTGCAAATTAGGCAATCGGCTGATATGCAGAAACGGCCATAAACACCTCCTGCTATCCAAGATCTCATGTGAAGATATTTAATGAAATAGGACGACAGACAACAAAATACATTTTGAGACACAGATTGCAAGTAAAAGAAAACAAAACAAGCAAACATTCTCAGACCTTTACAGATACACCTATATTGTTTGGGAAAATTATGCAACTATGCAAATCTTTATGAATGGAGAGTTACGGAATGAATTAGAGTGTCAGCTGACCACTCTATGCAAATTAGCAATGCCCCTGCCCAGTGGCACTCCACTGGAGAGCAACCTTTGGACTTATACCCTTTGAGAATGGTCTTACCCCCCAATTTTTTCTCTTTTGTATTTTAAAAATCAAACAATGTGGATTTATTTTATCTAGACACCCTTTAACAATATCACAAAATAATTTCATCACATTTAATAGATCTTCATTCAATATTATTTTCAGATACAATGTCCCAGAATGTAGGTGCAGTATAAATTAAATTTGCATTAGAAAACAATACCATAAATTAAGTAAATATAACAACAAGATGACAAGATTGCAGTGGTCACTCTAGACTAGTGTCAAATATAAGCGATAACAACGAAAACTACAAATGATGATTGTATAATATTGCTTCATTTACAACACTAATAATGTTAAGTAGCATTCCCATCACTGTACATTACATTACTATAGAACCCATAGCAGTATACAAACCATATTTTATTTAATACAATATGATATTTAATCACAATACAATTCACAAAAACATAAGTGGAAAAACTGGAGGCTGGCAAACAATTAATTATGGCACTGTATAAAAAGAATGCAAATTCCAAAGACACATGCCAATACTAAATGTCTAGTCGGGTGTTTTTTTTACTCCCCTAAACCAAGTAAACAAAATATTTTAAGGCAAAAAATGCATTCAATTGATTAGACAGTGCATTGACACACAAAATGAAGAAACTTTCATACCTAGTCTCAGTCTTTGAATACATAAAGACAGTTTAATGTAAACCTCATTTAATTTAACTAAATAGGTGATCATAATCTCAGAAACCAAAGGCTATATTTGCTATACCTGGTCTTTCCCATATTAAAAACATTCTGACATTGATGTCACCCACAGCCAGGACATCATGTCCGAGACTAACTGGGATTATCTAAAAGACAGTGAATATTCATCTTAGAAAATGAGCACCCCTCCACTTACATTTAGACACTTGTTTAAGAATCTGGCAAATGTGCATACACTGAAATTTTAACATAGAGTCTTCAACGATCTTATTACAGCAAGACACAGGATCCCAAGACATAATTTTAAATGATCTTTACTTCCCAGTTAGTCAAGACATGTATCCAGCACCCAAGCCAGTTTCCTAAATTTAGAAAAGGTATTCAAGACCTGAAGGTCAACAGTTATCCTGTCCGAGCAGAATTTAACACATTCGTTCCAACTGATAGTTAAGATGTTATGTGACTTCCCTTTAACAAAGAGGTCATGGACTTCTAATCAGCTTTAACAGGGAACTAAGCCCTTGGTGTTTACATACCTCAATAATCCTGTCATGAATTTGAAGTCCTCCTTCTTTGGCTGCAGGTCCACTGTCAACTATTTTAGACACATAAATTCCTTCACCTGATTGTCCATCCTGATTGTCCTAATAAGAGAATACAATACACAAATATTTATAAGAACTAAAACCATTTATTTTGGATTATTTTCATTTATTAAAAAAATAAAATAAATTCTGCATTATTATTCTAAGACCCCTACTATATGAGAAGATATCAATAAAAAAAAAAAAATACAGCCAGTTGTATTATTTATACAGGGCCAACACACTCCTCAATGCTTAAAGGAACACTATAGTTTTAGGATACAAATGGTTCACATTAAGCACCATAACTAGTACATTTTATTGTGTGTATGGTCCAAGTTGGCTTAGGATGCAGGTTTTTAGGTTATGGGGAGCCAGTTTCAATTCTACACTAAAAGGGAGAGACTCACATTTTGTCATACATTACCACCTCAAAACAAACTGAAGAAAAAATAAAAATATAAAATAAAATAAATCTATCTTGCTTAAAATGAAACCCGAGTGTACTAAAATGTGAACTTTTTATTATTATTTTGCAATCTGAATTGAACTGGATTTTTAATATACATTGAAGAAAAAAAAAAAAGGTTAATTGCAAGAAAATAAATAAATAAAAAGTTTAACAAGTTTAAATTCTAGAATTTCTAGAGAAGTGACAGTGTCTTTAAATCTATCATTAAGTAAAGTTATAAAATAGAAATTAAACCAAGGTGTAGCATACATAACCAATCTTTTCATACTGGTGAACTACTTATTTTGGGTCACTGATTATTATCAATGTCAACGACAAGTTGGCAGTCAGACTACCTCACTGTAGGTTATCCAACCTGTTCATCCTTACATACCAAAGAACAAGCTATGACAATTATGTCTTGAGGAATCTAAACTGTGCAGTAATTCCTAACATGATTATTTGGTGTTTTTACATATTTCACAAAGAATGCCTGAAGCAATGTAGGGTGCCTCCTTCCCAACAGAAAAGGGCAACATCAGTCACTGACTAAAAACAATTCTGTGCATGCTGATTTGTTTTTATTTAGTTGGTCAAATATGCAATGAAATTATGCATCTGCAATAACTACAGTTTTAAAGAGCCAACAGTGCAGAACAGTGGGAATCTGTACTAAAATAGCAACGCATGCAAAATACACATGCAATGGCGTTTAACCTAGTCATTTGTAATCAGCTGCCAATTTATTTAATTACACATCCAAACCTCTCAACCCTACCGCATTTATAGTTCAAAATTTGGGGTCCTGTTCTGCTGTTCCACCTTAAGACTATGGTGTTCCATTTATGGAGAAATCAAAATCCATAAAACACATGAACACTCTGTGTTGGTTATAACGCAGGGCATTTTCCTATGTGCAGGGCGCAGCTTATAAGGCGGAGAGTGTGACTGGCTAATAGGCAAACAGGCAGCTACCGTGTTTCTCCGAAAATAAGACCGGGTCTTATATTAATTTTAGTCACAAAAAACACACTAGGGCTTATTTTCAGGGTAGGGCTTGAGCCAGTCTGTCAGCCGGTGTCCGCGCTGTGTAACCCCCCCAGAGACCCTCACCTCCCCCTCCCTGTAATATCTCTCCCCTCCCTCCCTGTAATACTATCCCCCCCTCCCTGTAATATAATCCCCCCTCCATGAAATACTCTCCCCTCCCTCCCTGCAATATTATCCCCCCTCCCTCCCTGTAATACTCCCCCTCCCTACCTCCCTCCCCCCCCCCCAGTAATACTCCCCTCCCAGTACTACTCTCCCCTCCCCCAGTAATATTATCCCCCCTCCCTGTAATACTCCCCCCCCCAATCTTCTCCTCACCTTCCCTGTAGCGTGGCCAAGCTCGGCCACGCTACAGGGAAGGGGAGGTGAGGCAGTGCGGCAGCCGTCTGAGCGCTCTCTATACAGCGCTCAGGCGGCTGAGGCATTTAAAGGGCCGGCAGCTGCCGGCCCTGCCTAGGTCTTATTTTAGGGGTAGGGCTTATATTGCAGCCCACCCCGATAATCCAGCTAGGGCTTATTTTCGGGGTAGGTCTTATTTTGGGGGAAACACGGTAGAGGGAGTGTTAATGATTTGCCTTATTCCTACTCCCCCTGCATACATACCTGGAAATATTATTTGGATGTATTAACATACATGCACTATACATCACATACAATGGATTTTAGTCACTAAACTGGAGTGACTAGACTAGCTTGATAAAGCAGTTTTGATCTATAAATCGTGCCTCTGCAGTCTCACTGTTCAATAATCTGTCATTTAGGAGTTAAAAATCACTTCTATCTCTGTTTATTCAATCCTAGACACACCTCCCCTGGCTGTGACTCACACAGCCTGTATGAATAAGAATGTTTTCATTTTCAATCAGATGTTCGCTTACTTTAGAAGTTTTTATCTCCTGCTCTGTAAATTAAACTTGAATTACATACATTACATGAGGCTCCTGTAAGGTCAAGCAAACTATTAACAGAGCAGGAGATAATACATTCTAAATTAAACAGACTGTGCAATAAAGGAAGTGTAAACATTAGATGACTCGTTACAGGAAGTGTTTAGAAAGGCTATGTAGGGAACATACAGGGAGATGTGACTAGGGCTGCATAACAAAAGTGATTTAACTTCTAAATAACAGAGAATTGAGCAGTGAGTTCTTAATTGGAATGGAAGCATAGCTGACTAGGATATTATAACGTAAGGCGATAACTAAAAATAAATGTCATACCTTTGGTATCATCTATAAAAAGTGTTGTGCCCTAAAATGTGATCTATAGAAGTAAGAGGAGCAGTTACCATGGTAACCAGTAGAACCTACAGGGTTCTGAAAAGTAGTGCAAACATGGAAAAGGGGTGGCATCACAGAAATGCAAGTTATTTCTTAAAAATAATGTGTGATCCTGGCAGTTGATGGATTTCTTGCACGTCTTGAACTTTGCATTTTATGTACCGATCCTTATGTTTGTGTTGATTCTCCCACAGACAGAAGATAAACAAGGAGGAGACAGACAAAATTACCAGGCAGAAAGGTATTTATAGACTAGCAGGGCCTTTATCAAGATTTCATTAATGACCACAGAGAGGATTTCAAATGATTAATTCCTTGTAGGCTGATCTTATATACACATGGTGTATTTCAAGCTTTCTGTGTTAGTAATTCAGAATGTTAGATCTATCTAATGTGTGGTGCTTGAGCTGATCCTTAATTTGTGACTCCCAGTATTATTTTTATAAAAAAAAAAAAATACAAATTTTGTAGTCAGCAGACGCAGGGTTAGAGACACCCATTTCCTTTTAGCCTCATTCTTGCACACAGAGAGCACAGATTTATGATGTAATTCTTGCTGCTCTCTGTATTACCAAGATATTAGAGAGAGTGTGTAAAAAATACTTACCCCCCCACTAGACCACCAAGGACAATGTACCTCTCATTTCTACCAGTTATCCCAAGATCAAGAATGAAGAGAATGAGAGAGCCTGAAGCAGTAGGAGCCCCATGCACATATGTGCCCATGTAAAAAAATACCACAGCACCTTTACAGTTAAGTCACTAATGGTTCCCATGTAATGTATCTGATTTCATGCTGTCAATTCGATCCAGGCTAGAATATGCAGTCAGGACAGCAAGTTACTCATTGGGGGATGGGAACAGAAGGGAAGAATTACTTTGCGACCCAAGGTTGCTTGGAGTTAAAGTAACGTTCTATACATCCAGATATGGTTAATGGAAAATATTTATGGTTTTCGGTTTTATTGTGCTTCCACTATTCACAGCAGATCCAAGAAACTGTTGGGGGGGGGGGTTTAAACTCCTGTTTTCCTTCTCCAGAAGTCCAAAAGGAACACTCAAAGCCAGAGGTGCCCAAAAGATAGATACACAGATGTTGTAGAACTACAACTCACATAATGCTTTGCATACCTTTAGAGAGTGACTAAAGCATCATGGAAGCAGTAGTTTTAAAACATCCAGGGATCTACCTTTTGGGCACCGCTGCGAGTCTAGGCACGTCATGTACAACTAATGTAGTGGTTTTGGTGCACACTGTTTTCCAGCAATGTTAAATATTTGCCATAGAACATGCCTTTAATGTCTGTCAGACTGACACTGACTAATATGCTTTGTCGTAAACAACTTTGTCATCATCATCATATGGTAGAATGCGGATTCAAAATTTTATTCATGCTTCTCATATGGAAGCACTGAATTCAATTGCTGCGCATGTGCTGTTGGTACCGAATATTTAAGAGAGAAGTAATGGACAGAACAAAAACGATCCTAACTGATGATGCCAAGAAAGGCAGCACAATTAAAGCTAAGTTTTAGTTTTTTTGTTTTTTTTTAACCTTACAACAGGGGAAGGGGGGGCGGTGGGGAGTAGTTTAAAGCAAAGAGGGACTTTCTAATGTTAAAAATAAATATTTATTTTGTAACTTCAGAGTGTTCTTTAAAACAGAAATTCACACAGTTGTAACCTGTTTACATATACATGAAGTGTCATCACTTTTACATTGAAAGCTGGGGAATCATTAAGATTGTGTCAAACTGCACGTGTGAAGTTTTACTAAAACCACAACTGCGGAAATTCAAGGTGAATTTAAATTTTAAGGCCAAAATGACTGAACTGGGTAAACATTTCTCCAAGTCAGCTATGTTTGTAGTTCAGCTACTTTGACCTTAGAGTTCAAATTCACTTTGGACTCCTGACAAATATAATTTTAGTGAATAACCCTGATAGTTTACTTGCACCATAACCACTTCAATAAGCCATAGTGGTTATGGTGATTACATAGTACCTTTAAATAAGACATAACTAATTTTTTTGACAAAGAAATATATTTAAAACAACTTTTTAGAGCAATGTGATCAAAGACAAAATCGACTGGCTGCCAAATAGTTACAATGGCCATTATGCTTTGTCAAATCATGGCTGGAAAGTAATTATGGGAGCTGTAGTTAAAGGACCACTATAGTGCCAGGAAAACATACTCGTTTTCCTGGCACTATAGTGCCCTGAGGGTGCCACCACCCTCAGAGACCCCCTCCCGCCCGGCTCTGGAAGGGGGAAAGGGGTAAAAACTTACCTTTTTCCAGCGCCGGGCGGGGAGCTCTCCTCCTCCGATCCTCCTCGTCGGCTGAATGCACACGCGCGGCAAGAGCTGCGCGCGCATTCAGCCGGTCGCATAGGAAAGCATTCACAATGCTTTCCTATGGACGCTGGCGTGCTCTCACTGTGATAATCACAGTGAGAATCACGCAAGCGCCTCTAGCGGCTGTCAATGAGACAGCCACTAGAGGCTTTGGGGGAAGGCTTAACCCATTCATAAACATAGCAGTTTCTCTGAAACTGCTATGTTTATAAAAGAATGGGTTAATCCTAGCTGGACCTGGCACCCAGATCACTTTATTAAGCTGAAGTGGTCTGGGTGCCTAGAGTGGTCCTTTAAACAACTGCTAGGAATATACAAATTTTCGTGGTTTATGTGAAAGCTACCAGCTGTGTGATGCAGTTGTGCAGTGTTTCAGTTTACTTGAATTGTCAATATAAAAAAAAAAAAAAAAATTACACACATACATACATAATACACACACAGGTGTATATATAAATTCAAATGTAACAGGGCAGAACAAAGCGACTATGTGTTTCTGGGCATCATGATTCCCAGTACATCAGAGTGTTTCTACCAGATAAACAGAAAGTTTGAATGAGTTTATTGGCTTGAAAATCATTAACACATTATGTGTTACTTAATAACAAGCATGGCAGGTGAACATTAAACGTGTTTGGTATTACACCCATCAATAATCACACCCTCACACACCCTCTGCAGAACACATCCTGCATCAGAAGATCTCAGGAAATTAAAAACTATTAAAAACTGCACCTGAAAAATAAAGAATTAAAAAATAAAAAAAAATAAACTGCACCGGAATTTTACAGACCACGTTTTCCACTTTCTAAAGGCAAGACTGAAAGGGTTATTCACAGAAAGGTGAACTGTCAAGAATCTTAATTTTTCAAAATGGCAAAAAACTGCTAAATTTGAAATGTGTGCCTAAAGATGTGCATGTTTGGGACATTTCCATAGTGTTCCCAAAGTATACCAGAGCAGGTTTTTCAACATTTGAAATGGACAAAGAGGGAAGCTTTAAAGCACCACTGTCACCATCTGGAGATTTTGCCTAATTCGGAAAATAACCAACGGTGACATCGCCACTGGGGGTCCAGTGGCTGGGGGGCAGCTAACATGAGCTTTACTTACCTAAACTGGGTACAGCCACCTTCCTCGATCTGTTCCCGACGTCTAGCATGCGCAAGAGTACAACATGTAAGTCTATGGAGACTGCAGGATTCCCTGCATGCGGGTGGATTGACACTTAGACTCTGCCCTAAGTCTAAGAAAATCAGGCAGAAGAGAAATACAGAGACAAAGTAGTCCTGGTGTCTACAGCCTCTAAAGGGACGAGCTGAATATTCATCATAGAGTTGCATTGATTCAGTGCATCTGTATGAGGAGATGCCGATTGGCACAGAGCAGCGATTTATACAACTAAAATGTAGTTTAGAACAAGAGCAATGTATCTAATTTACAGACTGATTTCTAAACACATCCTTTAGATTGTAAGCGCACGGCCTATCTAGCAAGGCACTTTAATAAAAAAGTTTCAATGGCTAGTTGTCAGCTCATGGGCAGGGCTCTCCTTACCTTTTGTATTGTTCTGTGTATATTGCACTGTTATTTGTTTTGTCCCCCTGTCCACCCCCAATTTATGGCTACGAAATATGCTGGTGGTTTACGCATTGCAGTAATACTAATATATGGTACTTTAATTACACATTACTGTGAATCTCTGTTTTACAATCAGACACACCAACAATAAAGAAAACAGGGACGTTAGGGTAGAAAAGAGGGGAAAGGAATTTGGGTCCATAATATTGGACAGTCTCTCCTAAATAGGGCCACTTGGGAGGTATGCCAGAGAACTAACGCAGGAGGTGGCATTCAAATCCAAATTTGGTGCAGTCTCACCTAACCTGGGACTTATGGGAGGCATGCAGAACAAAGCTTGGAATGGCTGCTGTACAGACCTAATATCGGAGTACAAACTCCGCATTTGGTGATACACACAGTCTCTAGGTCAGATAGTCATCACATGCAAAAGGACATGTAACCAAGAACTAAATACAATGCTTTTGACTATATTTGCCTATTAAAGGGACACTATAGTCACCAGAGCAACTTCAGCTCATTGCATTTGTTCTGGTGAGTAGAATCATTACCTTCAGGCTTTTTGCAGTTACCACCATCCTTTCAAAGAAAATGCAGTGTTTACATTACAGCCTAGTGATAACTTCACTGGCCACTCCTCAGATAGCTGTTAGAGATCCTTCCTGGGTCATGGCTACCTAAAATGCATCCAAACATTCAGTATCTCCTCCCTCTGCATGCAGGCACTGAACTTTCCTCATAAAGATTCATTGATTCAATTCATATCTATGAGGAGATGCTGATTGGCCAGAACTGTGTTTGAATTGTGCTGGCTCAGCCCTTGATCTGCCTCTTTGTCAGTCTCAGCTAATCCTATGGGGAAGCATTGTGATTGGATCAGGCTACCACTTCTGATGATGTCAGCAGGCAAGTCTAATGGAAACAGAGCCAGAGCTAGCAGCTCCAGACTTGAATACAAGTAAGATTTCAATATTTAGGGAGGCATGAGGGGGGCAGGGGGGCTAGCTGGTGGTTTTAACCCTATAGGTTCAGGAATACATGTTTGTGTTCCTGACCCTATAGTGCTCCTTTAACAAGCTAAAGTGGTTTAGACATCTGGAGTCTCCCTTTAAAAGGAACACTCCAAGTACCATAACCACTATAGCATGCTTTAGTGGTTACGATGCTTGAAGCATTCCTTTTAAGTTGACAGTCTGCACTTAACCCTCTAGTATGTCTGTCTAAGCATGCACACATGCCCTGCCTACCAGGCTAATCAGGTCTGACACCACACTGGCAACATCCTTAAAGAAACACACCATCCTCCTAAAGCACGTTTTTAATAAAAAGTGCACATATCACGAGAAATAGCCACTTTTATAAATTACCTTAGTAACACCTCCTACCTGTCAAGCAGCCAGCAGGGAGTGTTTCCTACTTCACTAGTTTTGAGATATAATTTAAAAAGGAAGTGCTCCTCCATGAGAAGCACTGCACTGGTTTCAAATGGTATGTCAATCAGATTAAATAAAAAAAGTTATCAGCATCGATAATGTAATGGGAGGAGGAGTGGAGCTGCAGCAAAGATGCACTCCTGGCTTTTTTTGTCGTCCATGCGACAATTTATTTCCTAAATTCAGGACAATGAGACTGTATCAACTGCATCAGGGCAGCTAACAAGTATGCATTTAGTGTCAGTAGAGTTCTCTGTCTTTTAAAGAGGGCAAGAACCATGTTCTTGCAAGATATCTGTTCTTGGCAGCGGTGCATACAAGGTCGTAAGAACAGCAAATTCATACAGAACTTTTTGGCATGCATAGAACTATAAAAAATGCTTGTGGACAGAAAAACCTCTTTTAACCTCCACACAGGAACAGTGGACACAGTGTAAAAAATGACCAGAATTGCTGCTAAGCATCATAGTAAAATTTACATCTGCTTAACTGGCATAGTGCCTTCTGAATTCTTAACAAAACAAAATAATAATTAAAATATGTCAGAGGTGGCCAAAAGTAGAACTCCCAAGATGCTTTGCCAGCCTCAGCTACAGAATGATCCTATAAACCTGGTGAATGACAAAGTAGACATTGCAACGTTGTTTTAGTTACTTAACTTGTAACAAAGTTCCTAATTTCATATTATAGGATAGAAAATGTACGTTTTCAGAGTTTCCTTTCTCTAGAATCATATTCTAAAAAAAAAAAAAAAATGTACCCACAATTCCTGCATCATACACTTTTGGGCTAAGTTGTTTTATGGCAGAGGCATCTCAAATTCTACCCCCCCACCCAAGATGTCACTGAACGACAACTCCCAAGATTCTCTTGCTATTTCATTCCAAGAACGGTGAGTTACCAGAGTTTGAAATCCTGTTCTAAGGAATAGATCGATGAACGTAGTGTAAAGCAGACCTTATGTACACAGGATCATTATGGCTATCTACTAGTGTCCATTTTTTTCCTTTTTGCCCCAGAATCCTGCCAATCCTCCAAAGATTTTAAAAAGTATGCAAATCAGACAGGGTAAACGATGTGCCACTTACAAAAGTCACATCATTAATGTTGCGGAGGGGGGACATAGTGAGGGCAAAGCCTTCTCAAAAAGGGCACGTCAGCCTAGTGTGCATGTCATGCTGGCTCCTCTAAGTTGCTACAGAGACAAATTAAGTTTCATAAGCAACCGCACATTAAATGACACACTCGTGTTGCACATATTAGTGTGACAGGGAATTTAAATCAGGACTGTTTTATTAAATCTGGGATGTTGAGGGGTATATCTGGCCACTGAAACTACACTAGATCTACTTTACTTTCAGGCAACAGGGGTCATAAAAATAAACTTATTTAGAAGAGCAGAAAAATGCATTTAAATGGGATTCATTTCTCGCTTTCCAAGTGGAATTTGCTGGCAAGAATACCAGCAAATCTATCCCTTATTTTAGGCTTGTCTTGTTTCCTTTTTGTTGTCACAGCTGCAGAATGTATGTCTACGCTAGTCTACATGGGAAGAGAAATAATAAAATATATATATATATATATATATATATATATTATATAATATATATAAATAAAATTAGTATGCTTTAGTCTTAGCGACTAGGCAAGACCCTGGAAGAAGTTCTTCTCATCCAAACCATTGGGCTCTATTTATCTTACATTTTAATGAGAAGTTCAAACGGTCATCCAATGTGAAAAATTAGTATTTCATAAAGATAAAATCTTTATAATATACTCAAATTGACGGTGTTGGAATTACACTGAAATTCCAACCCAGTCAAGAGATATACGTCGACAAAGTAGGGACTACTTTGTCTGAGACACTATACTTACCACAACAGCTTTAACTTAATGAAACAGATGTAGTGTATAGACCATGTTTCCGATGTTTCAATGCTCAATTCACTGCCATTTAGGAGTTAAATCACTTTTGTTACTGTTTATGTAGCTCTAGCCACACCTCCCCTGGCTTTGACTGACACAGCCTGCATGAAAACAAAATGATTTCACTTTCAATCAGATGTAACCTACCTTAAAATGATCTCCTGCTCTGTAAATTGAACTTTAATTAGATACAGAAAGCTCCGGTAGGGTCTAGCAAGCTATTAACAGAGCAGAAGATAATCAAATCTAAATTAAACAGAACTTGCATTAAAAGGAAGGATAAATATTAGATGACACTTTACAGGAAGTGTTTATGGAAGGCTGTGTAAGTCACATGCAGGGAGGTGGCACAGGGTGTGGACAGCGCCATTGGGGGTATACTAGAGGCTGGACTCCGGAGTCGCATACTGGCAGCGGCAATGTGAGTGAAGTCTACTTTTTTTTAAACAGGGGCCAGGGTTTAGTAGAGGGGGTGTTTGGATTACATAGAGGGGATGCTTTATATATATATATATATATATATATATATATATATATATATATATATATATATATATATATATATATATATATATATATACACACACACACACACACACACACACTGTACTTTTCAAAATAAACCTATGTTTCTATGAAAATGTTATTTTATTTATTTTTTTTGTGGCCCGCATAAATCTAAAACTTGTTTATTTGGCTGTGCTAGCCTTTGAGTTTGACATGCTTGCTGTAGGGGTATGAGTTATGCACCAAAACCACTTCATTAAGTTAAAGTGGTTTTGAGGACTATAGTGTCCCTTTAAGATTTAATTAGGTAAATTGACAAAGTCAGAATATTTCACGGTTCATTAGTTACGGAAATATTGTGGTAGACTAAGAAGTTATATGCAATATAATAATTTTGCAATATGTCAGACTTGTTCTAGTGTAGACTCAAACATTCCTAGCCTGAGCTATACAGGGCATTACAGGTTGAAAATAGGTCTTCAGGTATACCCAAATCCCTTTTGTTCCACTGCATTCTTGGCTAGAATGCAGCCCTGTACTTTTGAGACATACAGGCTCCAGTATGTTAAGGAAGGAGATGGTATTTATACTTTATTGCTTAACACTCCAGTGCCTATGAAGAAAAACAATGTGTGGAGTGAGGTTAGTTGACTTTCAAATTGGTTTTAAAGGCATGTATTTTTGGAGCTTATCTAGCCTACAAAATGTTTTTGTTCTTAACCAAATTATACTCTGCACCCTCCGTGTTCTCATTAGTCCATCCCCAATGGTTGAAACAGTCACAGCATTTTCTTCAGGCAGTAAGCAACTGCTCACAATAAATGGTTTACTATGGTGACAGGAAGACCACTTTGGAGCTTAAAAAGTGCCAAAGGGCAGTCACAACTGTGAGCTCCTGCCTGTCAAGCTCCTTTGTTTACCTGTGATATTCTGCTTCTGGTGTTAATAGAGTAACAAACAGCTCGGGTGAAAGTTTAAAAATCACATACTAGGTGAACCCAGTGCATTACATATGAGCAGCACTGCTAGGCCTCCCTGCGGGGCAGAATGCCATGAGCCGCACATGATTTGTAGGATTACAAACCCATTTTACAGCCAGGTACATAATCACAGATTCAAATTGTGCGATTGGATGGCCCTTCATTATCCTAATTCCCACCTGCCCATTCCATTCATGAAAATTATGACAAATAAAAAAAATTAAAAACAGTATAGCATGACTTGAGAACCATGGTGACAACCAAATATCACATCATATTAATGTTTACTAAAGAAAGTATAATAAAACGAAATCTAATTAAACACTAAATTCACTAACAAACTATAGAAGCTAAATGCCAAATGTTGGACAACAATTCCAATAATCACTCAGTCAGTGTCAAAGGCTAACAAAAGTAGGTGGGCCAAAACTGGACACCCCAATTCTATATTAAATGAGTACATATAAATACTGTGGTTTTGGTATACAAATATAATAAAATTAAAAAAAAGATAGAGTTTATATTTTGCATTCTAACTGATAACTCACCAAAACACACTAGTTTGTGAATGACCCCCCATGATCTCGATGCGTAAACATACACCAACGTATTTGTCCCATTGCTCCTTCCACCCCTTCCTCAGACATTAGGAAAACAGCCTCCCGCTGAGACGAACATGTCCCCAGTAACAAAATTTCAGACATTCATTCTCATACGGAAAAGGAAAAACACATTTTAACAATTAACATACCACACACGACCGGCCACCAATAATATTAAATCCCAAGGATCCAGCTTCCCGGTGGAGAACAAGAGTCATTGCTTTCGTTTCTTCTCCCTATAATGGACAGGTAAAAGAATTCAACATGACTGCATATCATACAGTAGGCCGGTGTACCTTTATATGGATTATGGTAACCAAAAAAAAAAAAAAAATTGAAAATGTATCTTTTATATAAAACTGAATATTGACACTGGGACATAATTTGTATTACTTTTGCACACAAACTCTGCATAGATTTAACCTATGCTCAATTCAAGTAAAATATTTGCTCAGTTCATATTTTTGTTGGGGCAGATTAATTCCAGCCTATAGTCATGTGATGGAGAAGAATGTGATTGGTCACAGCAAGGGACAAACATGATTCCCTCAGTTTGGTACAAAGATTTAATACACTACGCTGGTGAAATTGCAGATACATTTATAAATAAAGAAACATACTTACCTCAAATGTGCTCCATCTTCCGCCAAGATGGCTGCTGCAAATAGGAGGTTTGCAAATAAGTTTGCATTAGCCCACCAACATCTGAGTTAGCTCCACACCAACCATTGCTGCCTGCAACCGTCATTTTTTTGACATGCAGCATCCAACAAAGGACTAGGAGTGGGGAGAGCAGACAGGTTCCATAAATTTCAACTTTGAGCCAAAATGAAAGAGAGAACTTGGAGAATTCTATCAATTTGGTATTGTAGTTTAAAATTCACTCTGAATTACCTGTGAAATCCAGATGTTTCATACGTTGGTGAACAAAGCTATGTACTTGTTTTCTGTATACAGCCTACACTATAATTAAACTCTGCCATAATTATTTAACACAGACTGTTTTGTTAAACACTGCAAACACCATAATCACTGTAGTACTCTGTAGTGGTTATGATGCCAGGAGTACACTGACTGCATGCTGTCAGAACGGAGCTGCGGTGGCTCTCCTGAGCTAGGCCCTGCAGTGTCAGCTGATCCCGCTCAACCAATGAACTATTCCCTACATTCCTGTGCGTTGGTCAGGCAGATAGCTTCTGACTCTAACAGCTGTAGTTGAGGCGGGAAGCGGTGCCTGGTGAACCCCAGATAAGACGTCAAACCGTTCTATAAACACTAAATTATTAGTAATTGGGGAGCACCAGGGCACTCCTGGCACCATAACCAGTATTGTGTGCTGTAGTGGTTATGGTGCTTTGAGTGTTCCTTTGAACAGTGAATTTAACTAGGAACAAAGCAATTTCTGGAAATTTCTATTGCCTTCAGCATTCCATTTACTGTGAAGTGGAAGCTAAACATGCTGCTAAATTCTGCAAGTTATGCCAGCCGATTGCAGCCCTCCCCCCATTTTTTTGCAGCTACAAGACTGGCTCCTTACTTTCAAAAAGCAGAGGAGGAAATCCTCTCTGTTCAAAACACGTACAGGTTGTGCTGCATTCATGCATGGCGAGTACCTTGGGAAATACCTGTGTATACAGTTTCATTCATTTCATTTTCAATAAGGCTGTGAAAAATCACTGCACAAAATAAATAAAACCACACACTTAATTCACAGGCAACACCACCTTGAAATTTTCAGGGTTCCACACAGGGCTGGAGTTAAAGTCAGTCACCCCTGGCATTATCTATGTGACAGATTTGTCAGTGTTATGGCTGGTCTAACACTGAAAGGAGTGGTGGGTTGCAGTGTGGGTGTAAAATTGGGAAAATCCGGTAGAAATAGGAAATGGTCAATTCCCAAGTCATCCAAAATTTATCGGAACAGCCCCTACCCCTGTCCACACTCCCACTCAGACCCCTCAAGTGCCCCTCTTATTCCATTTCAAATGTTGGCAGATATGGACTTTGGAAAAGCTGAAAATATTTATAAAAAAAAAAAATACAAAAATTGCAAAGCCTTTAGCAAATTGAACATCACCCTGAAATTGTTGGTCACAGCAAATGATTAGATAAACATTAGACTAAGCCACAACAAGAACAAGATTATTGCAAAACATAGATGTCAAAAACATTGAGAATTACGAAAACCAAGCATGTCCAAAAGATTAGTCAGCTCAGCTGTAGAACTGCATCCCACACAGCGCTTAACCAGTTTTGAGAATCCTGGGACTTAAGTTTTAGATCAGCTGGAGGGGTGGGGGGGGGGAAATATACCTTCCGCTTCTACCTTTGATGCGGTGACATGACATTACCGTAGGCAATGTTCAAACAAAAATATAATGTAAATTACTGGCGAAACTACCTTTAAGGATTATCTACTAAAGTAGCCTTTACCAAGAAGTGAATAAACAGGCTTTGTTCACAGAAGCAAAAGGTTTATATGCAGTACTTAACAGCTGTCAGAGTTATGTACTATCAGAATACTACTTTTATACAAACAACCCTGCTGAATTAACTTTACTACGAATTAACGTCACCTGCACACTTTCCTCTACAAAAAAAAATTGCTTGTTTAACTTGTGTTTATCATCTACAAAACTGCAATGGTTTTATTGCAGGGTGAAAACTAAAAGGACTACTGCACCCAGACCACTTTGTTGAGATAAAAAGGTCTGGATGCCTTTAGTGGTCCTTTAAAATCGAGATATAGATATATAACAAAGGGATTTAGTCACATTGGATGATCATATTAAGAATATAAAAAAAATAAAATAAAGACTTAAGCGAAAATAGCCATTTTGGAAAAATTCTCCAACTTGGCTATTGTCACAGCTTGGACTATTTCAGCCTGAATTTTTAGAATTCGATTTTCAGTTTGGCATTAGGGCACTCCAGGCACCATAACTACTACAATACCCTCTAGTGGTTATAATGTTTGGAGTGATCATTTAAAAGCCACAGTGTTTTACAGCGCTACTTCCAAGAGGAACATCTTAGTGGTGCTATTCAGGTGTATATATAGGGTTAGGGATATATTATTAACACTTCTTGAAGATGGTAGCTCTGCCCAGTGTCAACAAGTGTCAAGTGCAAGAAAAATACTAAGACAAAGTAGTCCTTACTTTGTCTCAGTATATATTTTGACTATGTTTTCAGTGAAAATCCAACAAAGTATGTGGGGGTGATAGTGCCGCTTTACCTTATTTTAACTCACTGGTTTAGTAAAACTGCCCTTAAGAGAAATCCAAGGATCTTTAAAGAGGTAACACTTTAAAGCTGTGTGTTTTTACCTAGTTTCCCTGGTTTCTTTCATTTTATTGTTATTTAAATAAAGAACGTCAGAAGACGAGCCTTGTTAAAAGGCCTCAGACCTTTGGAACCCACCGCAAATTACTAATGCTAGTTTGCATTCCATTACCCAGAATACACTGTGGCCTCATGGCATTTGATAGTGAAGTGAGGCTAACTTTGGCAAGTTTTTTTTTTTCTCTTCTTTCAGCAAACTGTTTATTGTAAGGGAACAAACACAGGTCTACTAATATTCACACAGACGAAGCAATGTTCTGAGTCGTTTTACACTTTACTGGAATCGCCATCTGACCAGGACCTTTCAAAGACGTATCTGAATGAGATTTATATGTTAGTACAACCTGAAATATCACAGCTTGAAAAGAAACCATGCTTTTTAGGAATGTGTGCAGTCCCTGGAGTTTCATTCTGCAGAAACAATCAGAGTGACAAATGAGGTATTTACTGACAGCTGGGGGATTGGCTAGAACAAGAGATCTGAAAACGGCAGAACGTCAAGAAATATATAAGCCGTATTACCTGGAAAAATTATTCATCTAAGAATCAATTTTCAAGTGGAACCACGGTTTCAACACAATAACAAAAGTTTGCATAAGTGCAATTCAAATAAAAATAAAAAAAAGTTATGTTCCAATATGACTTATTGTTGGGAATAATTGTGGGACTCACTATGCATGCCCTGATTGCAAAGCAAGGATTAGATTTCCAAAATCTACCACATTCTGCTGACAAAAAATACAAACAAACACTCACATACACACATCAAAATAAAAAATATCTAAAAATAAATTGAAAATAATACACACCTATGACTTTGTACAGAACAAAATATTTTTTTTTTTTACATCAATAAAGCAATTCAGCATTTTTGATGGGGACTGCATTTATTGCATTGTAAAATGCAGGATAAGCCCTTAGAAATCAGAGCTTTAAGTAAATCTAAGTTTCATGGCATATGTGGCATGCTACTGATCATTCTAGAGTTATATACAATGATCTCCCCCATAGGCCTCAATGCTGTATTCTCCTGCAGGCATGAGAGTAGAGCAGAGACGTCGGCTTCTGGCGCAGAAGAAGAGCAGCTTAACCAAGATGGGGTTGCCCGCGAGGGACAAGTTCAGGTAAGTAAGCACTGGTGTGCTTTGTACAGAGCAGGTGAGATACTTACCTGATGCTGTCCCCAGTGAACACCTCAATCTTCTTTCTTAAGTTCCTGGTGCTTCATCTGCCAAGAACCCACAAGAGTAGTGCAGGAGCCTCCATAGATATTGTCTCGCGATTAGGAAGACAATGCATTTCTCCCACAGCACTCACTACAGATGGCTGTAGCTCCGCCCTTTGTCAAATAGAATTATAATACACAAGACAAAGTAGTGCCTTTTTTCAGTAAAATTCCAACAAAGATTTTCTCTGTATGACATACTCAATTTTTTTGTTTGGGTGGGGAGGGGGTGTTGACAAAGACTCTTTAAGACTTCTAGGTTGAGACCCCACAGAGCCAAACTTTTGTGCGATATTATTTGGCTATATAAACAATTTTTCAGCCCCTAGAGTGGACTACTTGGCCAGCTCCTTTCTCAATAATGAACAGAGGAATAGCAGCATAGCTTGAATTGCATAGGTCTGGTCCCAGCTGGACAGAGAGGCAGATGGAAAAGGCCCTGCCCACCTTCCAATAAGTGCTAAAAATAAGTAGTGTTGGATTTGGCACACAAGCGTTGCACAGAGCAGGATAAAGATGAATTTCATGACTTGGGGAAATGTAGATTTTCCTCTCTTTAAAATGAACAATGCAGCAGTGTATTATAAAACAAAAAATGTTTATACTAGGTAAGGATACCACATACAGATACTGAAAGCCTTGTAGCTCCTCAAGAATGATTAAGACAGGGTAAAAAGTAGCTAGGGGCTAAAAACGAGTCATAGATTAGCAAGGACCGGCTTTTGTGTCTGTAGATCTTCTGCAGAGCTGCTCAATATCTTCGAAGAATGTTGAGAAGAACAGACTAGATCAAGGTTTCACAAAACCTTGGAATCAGGGCTCCTAAAAAGGTTATTGCTGATATTAGACAAGATTAGTCACTAACGTGAGAATTCCAAGTGAATTTCAAATTCAAAGGTCAAAAGCCGAAATGGGTAGAAAAAAATAAAATTTAATTCAGCTATTGTTCCAGTTCTGCTACTTTGGCCTTAAATTTTAAATTCACTTTAAATTTAGTGAATAGCCCTGTATGTTTCACCTTATGTACGAGACATTTTTTGACAAACGGTGGAGCTTTAAATAGCCTCTACTTGCAACATCTTACTATTTCCGTTCAGCCAACACCAGAGGCATCTTCTTGCCTACAACATCTCTTTGCACATTGGAGGATCCAGAGCTCTAACAATATCTTAAATGGACTCCAGTTGTTTTTTGTTTGTTTTTTAATAATTATTTTTGCGGTGCAAGGAAAAGAACGTATGCAAGTAAAGAAGTGACATTGACTGATAATGCAATAAAAGTAGTTTGCGTGTACAGAGCATGTTGAAAAAGTTGCACCATTTTTTATTTTTTTTAATAAAGCAGTAGGCCAGGAATCCTGGCTTGAACCAGATATTTCACAAATATAACAATAGTAAACTTTTGTTTTTTATCGAGGGTACCCAATGCTATGATATAGTATGCTATAGCATGTAAAACTAGGCTTAAGTACCGCTTGGACTAAGGTGCTCCTCTGGAATTTGTGTGTCAATCTAGTGAGTGCTGCAAGAGCGTCACTGTCCAGACTAGGGACAACACCCTGCGACCTGTGCTTGTGGGTATGTGATGCCTGTATGGGAGCTAGGTAGGAGTGATTGAGGGCTGAGTTGAACAGCTCTAAACTAGAACAAATAAAATTGCTACTGTCATTAAGGTGTTGTGTAGCTTGCCGTGAGCTGAAGTACATGAGTGCGAGTGTCAGCTAGTGCCTCAGGTTTTGAGCAGGTGTTCTGGTTTAGTGTATATAATAGTTGCGGCTAATAGAGATCAGGTCGTTTTTAGCTGTTAGTGCCCCTAACCAAGGAGGCTGCGGCGGGGGGAGGGAGTCGTGGTGGGTATCTTGCGTGTTGTTACCCCTCTTTGTAAGGCCTCATATGGAGGACAGACATTTGCCAGCTTTTAAGCAAGGAGGGTATTCTGGGTTTGGTAACCATGGCTAGCCAGAGGCAGAACAAAAAGCAAAAAGAGCTAACAAAACAAGGGTAAAAAATTGTGGAATGGGTGCAGTCCATAGCTGCCCTTTGCCTGTTGGGTTTTGAGCCCAGTTATGTCCCAGTGCCTGTAGTTGTGTGGTCTCGTAGAGTGAAGGCGATTACTGTGGCTGGGTCCCAGGTTAGTGTTCCCCTCCGGTTTCCTGACTCCTCGTAGCAGCAATGCAGGTGCCTCTTCAGCTGAGGTGATCTTGTGACTAGTCCCATTGTGGTTCACCATGAGAGCTCGTGGTGTGTCCATTGGTATAGTATTCCCGCGTTTCTCAGTTGGCTCGTAGCTTGGAGGAGTGTTTTGCGCCATTGCAAGGTGGACCTTGATATGTCCTGGTAGAAGGATAATTCAGCACCCTCAAATGTGTAAGGTGTTTGGTTTCGTAGAGCTGAGAGGAGTGCCTGTTTGTCTTGGGCTAGAGCGCAGTGGACTATGATGTCACTTACTGCAGTTGTTGGGGCACTTGGTGATTTTGGTAGGCAAAACATGCTATCAAATGCGAGCTTTTTGGCTTGTGGCGGTGGCAGTAGTGAGGCCGTTAGTTGTCTCAGGTAGTGGGGCAATTCTGCCATGGTGACAGACTCAGGCACCCCTCTTTTCTTCAGGTTATTACGTCTGGAACGGTCCTCCAGCATGGCAAGGTGCGCGGAGAAAGCTTGTTGCATCTTTTGGACATTTTGCAAAGAGTCCTTCACATTGGACACTTCCTGCCACACATCTATGATGTCCTCTTCAGTGGCTCTCACCCTGTCTGTTACCACCTGTAGGTCTGCCTGGATGACTTATGTCTGTGGCTAGTGTCTGGCGAAATTCGGTGAGGTAGTTTTTAATGTCCTGCTTGGTGGCCAGAGCTGTTAGATCAGGGAAGCCTGCAGCTGTTATCTCTGCTGCTTGTGGTAGGGTGTGAGCTTGAGGGGAGTCATGTGTTTGGGTCTGAGGGTCGACAGGGACCTCCTGGTATACTGGGGCCGCCATTTTGGGCTGAGCCTGGCGTTGCAAAAGAGCCCCAATGTCTTGGGATTCGCTTGGTGTACCTGGCTGAGGTTTCTGGGAGAGTCTCCCCATGGTTGAGGGTTGATTTGCTGGTGAGGGGTAATCTGTTCTCCAGTTACACTCTCTCTGGAGGGGGATGCGCCCCAATAGGTCTTGTAGGGAGATGGTAGGCCGCGGTCTTTTTGCGTCACCGGTTTTGTCCGGAGTTTGCAAAGAACGGCATGTGCCGACACCGGGGGACGTCTGTGTGTGGATGGTTATGTTGGTTTGGTTGGATGGGCTGGATATATTGTGATTTTCGGCGGATTGTGCAGAGCGCCGTCGGAGCTGCGGAAAATGGCGCCTACTTTTTTCCGCGGTTAAGCTCTGCCCCCTGTCAAATGGACTCCAGTTTAGTATACCAGTAATTCCGAAGGCAACATCTGCAGGATGGAGAGGAAAGATAGTTCCTAGTATTTACATCACCCTTCCAATGCTGGGTGCTGTCATGCAATCAGACGTGTCCCCTTGGAGGTCTTTGCAAAACAAAACTTGCAAAAGTAACAATGACAATTAAGGTGCACCCACCAAACCAGAACTTTTAACTCAACTGCACCTCTTGCTATTTCTCCTTCCTCTGCCTAAAACAGATTTGAAAAGAAAAAATATATAATAAAATTCATCAATGTGTGCACACATATGATGTCTTTGTTTGGCTGTGTTTCAGTAAGGCAGATTATTTGCCAAGATCACAGTCATCAATTAAATGAATCCATGCACTGGAGGCTTGATGGCTTTGCACCCAGGGGCAAATGAACCAGTTTATGCATGGGCTATTTGTAAGCATGGCCTCCTATAAGGGGCCCAATCCATAGGGAGGTTTTGGTCGGGTCCCAAAATCAGAGGGAATAACAAACAGCACATGGCACAGAATGCCGAGACCAGGGGCTTGGAGAGTCCTGTCTGCATCATGATAGACCCCTTTGTGGCCCAGCCATGCATGAACGGTGGCGGTATGCTACGGTCATCACTGCTGCCCTGAGATAGTAGGGGAGGGATATGGCATATAACCCCTCCAACAATGCGGTTATTAGAGGCAAAAAGGAACACGGCAAGGTGTCCGCTGTCCAGGACCGCCATTAGGGGGTGACAACCGTGATGGTTGTCACGGGCCCCACATTGCCTCTCTGCACACACACATATATATATATATATATATATATATATATATATATATATATATGATCAATATAGAGATATAGATATATAGCCGCGGGCCCCCGGCTCCCTATACTTGCAGAGGGGGCACGGCAGACCGCAGCTGTGCATTACAGCTCTTCCCTCTCTGTAACTCCCGCAACACGTGCGGTCGTCAAAGCATTGCCAAGGGTTATCATGGCAATACTCCGCGCGGCACACACACCGCGCTCGCGGAAGTTAGAGAGAGGGAAGAGCTGTAATGTGCTCCTGCAGTCTGCTGGGCCCCCTCTGTAAATACAGGGAGCCGGGGGCCCCCACAATGCCACCGGACTACCAGGGATGGAATCTCCTCCCTCCCTGTACCAGGTAAGAACCAGGGAGGGGGGAATAACATTTTTCCACTTTTAAAGTGTGTGTGGGGGGGGGGGAAATGCTCCATTTACACAACATGCATACACTACACACACACACACACTGCATTCATTACACTAACACACTCTGCATTCACTGCACTGACACACACTCTGCATACACTACACTGACACTGCGTTCATTACACACTATGCACACACTCTGCATTCACTTTACACACAGCATCCACTACACAAACATCCTGCATTCACTGTACACACACTACATCCACCACACATTCAAATACTCTGCATTCACTATACACAGACACTGCGTCTAATACACACACTACATCCACTACAGACACTGCACACAAACACTACATCACTGTAGACACTACATCCACTACACAAACACACTCTGCGTTCACTATACACACTGCATCCACTACACAAACACACACTCTGCATTCACTGCACAAAAACAGTATCTAATACACACAAACACTACATCCATTACAATTCACTTCCACTATACACACCACATTCAGTCCTGCATCATTGTCAACGAACTAGGTAGGAGTCCTGTGTGCGGACGTGTGGGTGGCCCCGAGGGTGGGGGGCCCAGACTGTGTGCTTTGTCAGGGGCCCCAAAATGTCTGATGGCAGACCTGCCGCTGTCTATTCATCCAGTATGGCAGTTTAATAAAACTAAGCTGGCCATTCGGTGATGGTATATAAAAATTTCTGCCTGCATACAGAGACTAAAAATATATGTGAGGGTAGTGATAATGTACTGCTTGTTTTAGAATTAGTTTTGCATTTTTAATGCAGTGGAAGCTGCTGTGGTATCTTTACCTAGAACACTATGTACTTACAATCAACGTGTAATCTGTCTCCCAAGGAGGTTCTCCTTAAGGACTCTAATAACCTTTAACTAGAGTGCTAGGCCTGTGACTGACAGCAATATGGTAAGGCCAGCACACTGTACTTCCATGCAGTCCTCAATGCAGGTTCCAAGGTAATGCACATGAATATACAGCATGCATCATCTACAGTGTTTCATATCGTTTCTTTTTGACTCATTTTTAATTCTTGGAAATATCACAAGAGCGAAAAAGCAATATGTATATGTCTGTTTATGGGTATGATGCGTGTACAGGAAAGGTACAAGGACATCAAGCATCTGTACAATACAGGGTGTGGAGGATGCTATACTTAGAATGCATGGATTTTTGCTTTCTCCTCTTCTCTCTCTGGCTGTTAGAATGCAGCCATGAAGTTTGACATAATGAAGTTGCTGTAGTGTCTAGGATGACAGAGCTCTGGAAGACTGACCAGCACTGATGCAAACTCGTAGTGGGGTTTTTGTGGGTTAAATTTCACTTAGCATTGTTGTTCAGCGGAAGGGAGTTCATTAGTACAGTGATTACATAGGACTATTTGGTCAAAGTCACTTGTCAACCCAAGCATTCACATTGTTCAGTGATTAAACTGCATTACAGATATTGAAAAAAAAAAAAAAATGTCCCTATCAGTCCAGGCACAAATAATGACCCCCTGACAGGCAATAAAACCACAGGAGTCTATTTTCACTTCTCTTAAAATTCCAGCTTGCATCACAGTTTTTCAGAGTGTTCCAAAGGAATGAATTGTTTCTCTTGGAGCAGGAGTGCTATAACCAACCACAGAATTACAAAAAGGTGTAAAAATGATCACCTATTAAACAACTAAATTACTACAGGGCTTCATACACCTCAAGAGCCAGGGAGTCATGCCTGCTAAAACCGGTGTCACTTTTGTCAACTAACATTTTTTGATTGTTTTATTTAGACACACAACCAGATGGGTCTCCTCCCTAGTTATTAAATATGCTAGGGTGTATTCATTAACCAGTGATTTGTCTATTGACAAAATTCAAATTTTGTACAGCCAAGTAAAAAAAATATATAAATAAATAAAAAAAATAAAAAAACACCCCCCAAAAATAAAATGTATATGTTATAAAAACATACTAGAAGCCCCTCAAAGTCCTATATACTGAACCTCTAATCCGACAGATACGGTAGGCTCATTGAGCAGGGCCCTCCACATCTCTGTTCCTGTATGTCCAGTTATCTGGTTACAATTACGTCCGTTAGTCCACCCATTATACAGCGCTACGGAATCTGATGGCGCTATATAAATAATATAATAAACAGATACTTGGCATCTTTTGACTCACTAAACTGTTACATGATAAAAAAACAAAATGCAATAGAGCAAAAATTCAATTAAACTCTAGTGATATTCCGTGATGGTTTTCATTAAAAAGGTTTTACACGGTCAGGGTTATCTACTAAAGTGTGTTCAAAGTCACTTTTGAATTTAAAGTCAGAGTAGCCAAATTGGAAGCATAGTTGACTTAAAAAGATTTTTCCTAGTTTGGCTATTTCGACCTTAAATTTGAATTCTCTTTTTATTGAATAACCATATAACAGTTTTCAAGGTTAGCAAAAATTGGTTGGTTAAATGAAAAGAACTATGGGGAAAAATAGAGCATTTATAAAAAAAAAAAAATTTAAAAAAAATTTAAAAATAAAAAAAATCATACAATCTTAACCCATTGAGTGCCAGAGCAGAGCATAACAAATGTGCCACTTTTAACTACTTAAGGTACATATGGTTTCAGCAAGACAACTTCCTTTTCAAACACAGAAGCTTAGTATATTGTTCTGTATCACACTTTCCACTGAACGCAGGCATTCAAGGTGTTAATATTCCTTGTATTTGAGGCTGTTATTAGAAGCATGCCCTCTTGACATTACTTTATAAAGCATACCCTGTCTTTTCACAGCAGCTAAGGAAACTTGCTGTAAATATTTGTCCCTTACCCAGAACCCTCTGGCTGGCTCAGCCTTAAAGCTGACAGACATGTCTAAAGGCAAGAAAAGAAGGGGGGGAAAAAAAATGTTTTAAATTAATCCTTTAAGTTCCAGTGGTGTATCAAGTTAAAAATGAAGAGAAAAGAAAAATATATAAAATTGATAAACCTGCATGAATATAAATAACTGAGAAATTAAAAAAATAAACACCTTTTACATAGTTTGAGGATAATTACTAGTTACAGATTTGCAAAGTGAAAAAAATGCTACGTTATAAAAATAATTTTTTTTTTAATTTAAAAAAAAAAAGAAAACATCTAAAAATATATCTAATAGATGCAATGTTAAAGTCATTTAGATTTTTGCTGCTTAGAATGCTATTTTGGGCAAGGGTATATACTACTTAGACGATTTTGGTTTAAATATAATACACTTGGATACCTCAATATATTTGTTTGGCATTTTAAAAGCCTCATATTTATAAAGAATTTTGCATGAGTAACCCATAATTTCGGTTTAGGAGAGAAGACTGCATTTGACCCAAAGGCTGTGTTCTTTTGAGTTAACTCTTTCCACACTTCAATACAATGGTCCACAAATAAGCCCCCATGGCTGTTTTGGATTCTGACAGTCACTGACACGGAAAACTGGTCTCTTTCAAGAAACTAAGACAAGCTTTTTATCTGATGTGGAAGCACTTATCTGATACCAAACTTGCCTTTTTTTCCTCCAGAATCTCTGTTAAGGGGGTACGTTATTGCTTATTAACCATTTGAGTGGCAGAGCAAAGTGAAGCACAAAAAGCTATGTCAGCTTTTAATAAACACAGCTGGTGTCAGAATTGATTTTAAAAAAATGTAAAATTGGCTTCAATTCTGCAGTAAAAGGAATCAGCTACAGACACAGGAAAAAGTAACCACAAGTTTTAAATTGTTGATGTTTTGAGCAAAAATACCTGTTTTTCTAAAAAAATATTTTTTAAAGGACTCGGGAAAAAAAATGGAATGTTTAACGTGATTTACTCTGAGCTCAGCAGTTTAGATTTCATGACACTTTTTCTGAACACTTACATCAGTCACCATACTTTAGCTTTCTTAAGCAAAACAAAAAGAAATGGACACAGATGGTATTTTAAACTGTCATGTGAAAAGCAAGTTTATAAAATGACTTAACAGATCTAACGTAGTAATGTGTGTGTTTTTATAAGGTTAGGCTGTGTCTTTACACTGAATGATTCCATTAATGAAGCATGCACAATTAACATCAGATATCTGTGGCTACACTGCACTCATAACAGATTTAAAAACAGAAAGTGGAATTATTTTTATTAAAAAGGTGTTTTGAGTATGGTATTGGAAATTTGAGTTTTGGGGGGTTAACATTTGAGCACACACATTGCTTATATCTGCCCACTTGAAGAACAGGAATCCCAAAAGATTCTATTAAATGTTCCAGTATCTCCAACAATGAAGAGTTAAATAGCTTCTCTTCAACACAGCACTTGTGAGCAGACAGATCATATTGGACCTTACTAATAACTGTTTAAGTCTGGACGACTCAGCGCCCAGGGAGTTACAGATTTTGGAAAATAAAAAATGTATAAATATATATATATATACATATATATATATATATATATATATTATTTTTTTTATTTTTTTTTAGTAATTAAAATGCAATAAAACCACCATTACAAAAGCCAGAGTTACTAAACTTCTAAACAAGTGCCTGGGATCTGTCAAAATTCTCAGACTTCCAAGATCTAACAGAAAAAAAACAGTCAACCACCCCAAGATGAGATAACCAAACTTCAAGAAGTTTCTTCTTCAAGCTGTCCTGGTCAAGTCAGACTGTTCTAGGAGGTGGTGGACAATCCAAGCCTTCTAAGGGCCTGGGATTTTGGTTAAGCAGTCATCCAGCTCCCCCTCATTAAGAACCTCTCAGTAGCAAGCAGCCCCTGGAAAGGTGGTCTGAAGGTTATTAGGCAAGTTCATGCAGGATTCCACTCCAGAGTTTCAAGCAAACAGAGGGACTTGTTTTGGGTGGGATATGAAAGAGAGAGTTCTACTTACCTTGCATGGAGAAGCTACAACCTTGGAGAGAGAGTCCAGCCTTGCACTATATTCCGTGAATTTCTTCTGGTATCTCAGTGCCGTTATTTGCAACTCATTCTGAACTGCAGAAAGCTGGGACACTAGGGACTTCTCTCTCTTGGAGGACCTTAGTGCCCTCTTCTTGAGCTCAGTCTCCATCCATGAAATCTTGGTCTGCAAAACACCATTCTGCCCCTTGACTGCCTTCAAACAGCAGTGGTCCCCCAAATTCTGCTCCCTGAAAGTCAACATGAGCCCACAGCCCTTCTGGCAGATGCCCACAGCCCGGTGCTCGCAATGTTCCCTCATGTGGACATCCATGTCCTTGAGGTTGAGCACCTCATTGCAGCCCTTGTTCCTACACTTGGCTGGCGAGTAGTCGCACATTTCTGCGTGCTCTCCCAAGTTTTGGAGCTTCACCACCTTGTCGCAGCCCCTGGAGTAGTTGTCACATTTGATGTCCAACTTAAGGATCAAGCTTTTCAGGGGCAACACGTGATTGAGCTCCTTGGCAGAGATCCTTTGGCATTTAACTGGGCAGCTGCCCTGTTGCACCACCCAGGGCAGAACGCAGCCAGCGCAGAAGACATGTCCACAAGGGGTGGTCAGGGGGTCCTCCAGGACCCTATTGCACAAGTTGCATTTAAAGTCGGGGTCCACCTGGCCGCTGAAGCGTTCTAGTTCAAAACCCATAGTGCTGCCCCTTGGAAAGGATTCTTGTTGGGCATTGGGAGATCCCAGACTGGCTGACTGCACTGCTGGCTGTCTACTGCCTAAACTCGCTGCAGAGACATGTGGGGGCGGGGAGCCTCCAACATATGTACAAGAGGCAGGGACTGTCTTCTAAGGAAAGGAGGGGCTTTAAATCTAGAACAGGAGACACATATGTCAAGGAAAAATAGCTGTACTTTTTTTGTCAGAACAACAAGACAGTCAGATTCAGGGAAATAGGGACATTTCTTAGAAGGGAAATAATGGCTGGGAGAAGGGCACGGGAGAAAGATATTTAATAAGAGTTGCAAAGTTCTAAAAGTGGAGCAATCAGCAGGGACATTCCATTGGTTGCTATAGTGATTGACCACAGAGATATCTTGTGCCAAAGACAGTATGTATACATGAAGAATAGACCAGGTCCGGGTGGATGTGTTTGATAGGAGTTGTAGTACAGCAGAAGCTAGAGTTGCCCATTTGTGAGATAAACACATGATAAGCAATGCACTCACATTACAGCAGCATGTAACGTCATATTGCCCACTCCACTGTCTCCAGCATGGGCAGAATGTAACTCTATAATATATATATGTGTGTGTGTGTGTGTGTGTGTATGTGTATATATATACTCTCTCTCTCTCTCTCTCTCTCTCTCTCTCTCTCTCTCTCTCTTCCCAAAACGATTGGGACACACCTCTAAAAGAGATTCTATAGTGTTAGGAATACAAAGTTGTATTTACATCCCCTCTGGTCCCCCCCCTCCCTCCCTCCCAGCCCCCTCACTCCTGGCATGTAGGTGGGTAAAGTGGCTAAAAAAAACCCTAAGTCAATTACTAGATTTTAGCACTGATATCCCTTGGAACTCCGCCTCCTCCAACATCATCTGATAGGGGGGCTAACGCGCATTTGCACCGAGCATCACAAGCGCATTAGGCCCTCCCCATCGGAAAGCTTTCCTATGGGGATCTCTCTGAAGATGGGTTTGCTCATGCAGAGTGTGAGGACGTCCAGCGTCACTTAAGAGCCTGTTAACATCCAGAAAATGCCTCCAGTGACTGTCTGATTGACAGCCACTAGAGTCCGTCTTAGTTCTGCAAGGTAATCATTGCAGTTTCTCTTAAAGGACCACTCTAGGCACCCAGACCACTTCAGCTTAATGAAGTGGTCTGGGTGCCAGGTCCTTCTAGGGTTAACCCATTTTTTCATAAACATAGCAGTTTCAGAGAAACTGCTATGTTTATGAATGGGTTAAGCCTTCCCCCTAATCCTCTAGTGGCTGTCTCATTGACAGCCACTAGAGGCGCTTGCGTGCTTCTCGCTGTGATTTTCACAGTGAGAGCACGCAAGCGTCCATAGGAAAGCATTGTAAATGCTTTCCTATGCGACGGGCTGAATGCGCGCGCAGCTCTTGCCGCGCGTGCGCATTCAGCCCAGGAGGAGGAACGGAGGAGGAGAGAAGGAGGAGAGCTCTCCGCCCAGCGCTGAAAAAAGGTACGTTTTTATCCCTTTCCCCCTTCCAGAGCCGGGCGGGAGGGGGTCCCTGAGGGTGGGGGCACCCTCAGGGCACTATAGTGCCAGGAAAACGAGTATGTTTTCCTGGCACTATAGTGGTCCTTTAAACTGCAATGATTTACATTAAAGCACTGAGTGGGACAGTGACTCTGCACACAGATCAAATAATGAGCTGACGTGGTCTGAGTAACTATAGTGTCCCTTTAAATTATTGAATTCAGGTGTTTCGATCAGACCCATTGCCACAGATGTATAACCTCAAGCACCCAGCCATACAGTCTGCATTTACAAGCATTTCTGAAAAAAAGGGGTAATTTTGAAGAGCTTAGTGAATTCAAGTATGATATGGAACAGTGAATAATCCCCTGTAAAAGAAAACTACCGCCACTCCAAAACATCAAGGCGGTAGATACAGCAGAAAATGCTTACTTGATATAATGTCGTTGCTTGTCAGATAAAAATCCTGGTGCTTTTATCCCAGTGCTGGACTGATTCTAAACAAAACATATGTAGTACACCAATATCTCCATTAAAGTCCGCACATGGTAGAAGCTCCAAAATAATGCCACAGGTAGGTAATGAAAAAGTGCACAATTTATTTAAAAATGGATAGAGGAAAAAATATAACAAAAATGGCAGAAACTAGAAATTGGAGATAGCAAAATCCACTAGGAGGGGGGTGGGGTGGGGAAGAGATCCTGCAGAGGGTCCCAGCAAACCTTCAAAGAGGTCCTGGATGCATTTTTGCCTCTGGAGCCTCCACGTGGGTCTGTAGTAGTACTGTGGCTGCTAGCAAGGGTGCTGAAGAGGAGGCACGGCTGGGAGAGGGTAGTGCAGCGGATATAGCTCCTTCCAGAGGTGGTGGGGGTTGGAGAGCAAGGCATAGTCAGGTAAGGGCTGGGGGGAATAGTCTTTTCAGATGGCAGAAGGTCTCTGTGGCAAGGTCCATAGTCCTTGGGCAGGAGGCTAGCTATCACACTCCTCCAGGAGCTTGTGGCATAGGTACACTTGCCACATAGATTTCAATGGAAATATTGGTGTACACGATTCAAGTGTTGTATTGTGATAGGATACTTTTTCAATAAGCCAGTTTGTGAATTTTCATCCCTTCTATATATTTAATGATCAACTGTAAGTGGTAATATTGGAACGTCAAAGCTTTTGGGAAAGTCACAGAGCGGGGTCACCGAGTGCTGATTCCACAGTTGAAGAGTTCCAAACTTCCACTAGCTTTAATATCAGCACAAAAACTGTGTGGGGGGACTTTTATGGAATGGGTTTCCATGGTCGAGCAGCTGCATGCAAGCCTCACAACACAAAGTACCATGCTAAGCATCTGATCAGGTGATGTAAAGCACACCGCCACTGGACTCTTAAACAGTGGAAACGTGTTCTGTGGAGTGGCGAATCACACTTCTCTGTTTGGCAGTCTGGTGGGCCAGTCTGGGTTTGGTGGATGCCAGGAGAACATTGCCTTTGCATTGTGGCAACTTTACAGTTGGTTGAAAAGCGATGATGGTTTTTCAGTGCTCCGGCATGACCTCTTGCTTCAAGCAGGGCCGTCTTTAATATTGATTGGGCCCTGGGCAGTGGCGTACACATGACCCATGGGGCCCCGCTGCGAAAATTGATCCGTGGGCCCCCCCCCGGCTCGCGGGCCGGGCCGCAACACATGGCGGTGGGCACCTGGTCGCAGGGGTTACAGGGCTGCGACCCCTGCATGTACGCCAGTGCATGCAGATGCACACACACTTAAAGGACCACTCTAGGCACCCAGACCACTTCAGCTTAATGAAGTGGTCTGGGTGCCAGGTCCAGCTAGGGTTAACCCATTTTTTCATAAATATAGCAGTTTCAGAGAAACTGCTATGTTTATGAATGGGTTAAGCCTTCCCCTTCCCCTGTCTCATTGACAGCCGCTAGAGGCGCTTGCGTGCTTCTCACTGTGATTTTCACAGTGAGAGCACGCCAGCGTCCATAGGAAAGCATTATGAATGCTTTCCTATGTGATCGGCTGAATGCGCGCGCAGCTCTTGCCGTGCTTTCCTATGGGCGGTTTGAATGTGTGCGCGGTCTCATTCGGAGCTGAGAGGCTGAGGGATCCCCAGCGCCAAGGGAGTCCGGCGCTGGAGAAAGGTAAGTGCTGAAGACACACATACTCTCACTTACAGACGCATACACACTAGCTAACAGACACACACATTTACTGACAGAGACACACTCAGCAACAGACATACATACACACTCACTGACAAAACATCAAACAGACTCAGTAAGACACACACACTAACACTAACACTCACTCTAACACTCTAACACTCACTCTAACACTCACACTCACTCTAACACTCACTCTAACACTCACACTAACACTCACTCTAACACTAACACTCACACTCACTCTAACACTCACTCTAACACTCACTCTAACACTCACACTAACACTCACTCTAACACTCACTCTAACACTCACACTAACACTCACTCTAACACTCACACTCACTCTAACACTCACACTAACACTCACTCTAACACACTCACTCTAACACTCACACACACTTAAACACTAACACGTTTTTTTTTGTTTTTTAAATGTAATCCCCCCAGCCTCCTTACCTTTTGGAGTGCTGGGGGGATTTCCTGGGGTCCAGTGGTGCTGCTGGGCTCCTGGGCGGGCGGCCGGTCGGGCAGGCGGGCGCGCGAGGGAGCACTCAGTACTTCCTCTTCAGCTCCCTCGCGCACCGCGTAGGGATGCCGGCGCCGGAAGATGACGTCATCTTCTGGCTCCGGTATCAGTGCGGTGCGCGAGGGAGCTGAAGAGGAAGCACTGAGTGCTCCCTCGCGCGCCCGCATTCCGGGTGTCAGCAGGGCCAGCCTCGGGGGGCCCTGGGGTGGTCAGCTCCTGGGCCCCCCAGGTGAAGAGGCTGGCCCTGTGGCTACATACCGGGTCGCAGGGGCGGCCGGGCCCCCTGGTGTGCCAGGCCCGGTCGCAGCCGCGACCCCTGCGACCCTGGTATGTACGCCACTGGCCCTGGGCAAGCATTTGCTTGGGCCCCCTGGATCCACTCCCTAGCATGCAATCACGCCTCCACCCCAACGCCGTGGGCGAACTAAAGTAGAAAGAGCCCTGGTGCAAGAATTTCATTTGGACCCCCAATTGCAAGGTTGGAAAGAAGGTAGAACCCTATCTGTCATGCAACTCCAACAATGCATTGACAGCTGGGGCTCTACCAATTTCTCATGCTTGCAGGGTTGTATTTAGCACTGTGTTTGTGTGTTTGAATGTAAGCATGTTTTTGTATGGAGTATGTTTGTGTGAATGTGTTTGTATGTGGTGTTAGAGTTTGAATGCAAGTGTACATTTAAGTGTAGTGCTGGTTTTTGAATGTAGGGGTTTGTTTATATATAATTTTGGTGTTTAACACAGAGGTGTGTTTGTATGAAGTGTTGATTTCAATGCAGGAGTGTGTTTGTATGTAATGTTGAAGTTTGAATGGAAGGGTGCATTTGTATTTATTGTTTGTGCTCAGACACAGGTAGACATGCTGACACACAAGCAGATACA